GATGATGGGGACCTGGATCTTGGGTAGTGGCTAGAGGGACACAAGTGACTTAGAAATTCGGTGTGATGCCAGGTGCTGGAGGCTCACCCCTGTAATCCTAGCTACTCAGGAGGCAGAGATCAGGAGGATCACGGTTTGAAGCCAGCTTCGGGCAAATAGTTTGTGAGACCATATCTCAGAAAACCTAACACAACAAAAGGGCTGGCAGAATGGCTCAAGTAATAGAACGCCTGCCTAGCAAGCATGAGGCCCTGAGTTCAAATCCCAGTCCTGCCAAACAACAACTACAAAACCTATCTGTGGCGTCCAAAGGTGGAGTTCCTATTTTTAACAGGAAGCAGAGCCACCCCAGACGAAAGGGCAACCAAACCCAGCAAGAACCCAGTCCATAGCACTGAACAGCAATAAAATTGTTCCCTCTGGCAGCTGAAGTGTGCCTGCGAGAGTCTTGCTGATGGAATTTTTTTGTTCTTTCTGGCGGTACTGAGGCTTGAACTCAGGGCCTTCGACTCACTAGGCAGCACGCACGGAGCAAGCTCTGGGGGAAGCGTGAGGCTCCACCGCCACTCCTGACGTCGGAGTCTGGTCGCCAGCTCCCTGTGCCCGCGGACTTCAGGGCTGGACGCCCAGCAGAAGCGCCTCGGTGACTGTCCCATAGTGGGTGGCAGTTGCGGAAACGCAGCCCTCTGGGCCCCCAGCTTCCCGCGCCTGGCGCACTGGCCCAAGCTCACCACGTGGGCTGCACCCGTGCGCCCCTCTCCTCCCTCCTCGCCCCCCGGACAGGTGCATCTCGCCTCCCTTACGGCAGCCCCGCCCGCCGCCTGGGGTTACTATGGCAACGCTCCGGGTGGGAAGCGCTCGCCCCTCGCGCAGCGTCCGGGGTCCCTGCCTCCACCCCTCCAGTTAAGTCGGGGTTTTGTGACCAGGGTCGGGCCCGCCCCTTCCCCGCACATCTGGAACCGCAGGGCTGGTGGATGCTCACGCCTTCTTCCCCCAGACTCCGCCTCGCTGCACCCCGACTTGCCCCAGCCACGGGTTACACTCCCCAGTAAGGAGTGGGGGTCTCCACCCACCGGTCACACCTTAGGCCATTTGCGGCAGGGGACCGAAGGCCAACGGACAGTGTGCCAGCGCCGTCATGGGGTGAGGCATGCTGAAGTCGCCTGCGCGAGGCTCTCCAGAGACCACGGACCCCACTGCCGCGGGGGGCGGGCAGCTCCCCTTCTAGCCCTAAAACTGGCCAGCGAGGACCAGCGAGCTTTCAAAGTGGGATTAAGTGGAACTGGTTTTAGGGGGTGGTTAAAAGTGGGATGGGTGGAGGGAGGGCGGGAATTAAGAGACCTTGAAAATGTGGTTCGCCCTGCAATGTCGCTTCTGGCTCCTGATGCCCGCCACACTAGTTTCTGTCATTGTGCTGCGTGCTCTTGGTGCTTTTCCTGGATAACGGACCTAACTGCAGAGACCGAGTCGCACAGCAGTTCTGTATGGGCAGCGCTGGGGGTGAGCGCCTGGGCTGGGGAGCCGGGCAGTTCTGGGGAAGTTTCTTAGACGTGGGCCCGCCTTGAGGAGCTGCAATGAAGATCCGGTAATACAGGCACACCCACTCACTCACTCAAAATATGCTTCGGTGCCCTGCCTGGCACATTGCAAGTGCTCAGTAAATGGGAGCTAATAAAATCAATACAGTACTGGAAGTCTATTACTGGATCGGAAGAAAGTCCAGAGAAAATAAAGCAGTGGTCAGGAAGACCAAAATTGTCCAACTATGGTTTAGTCTGGAGGGTTGCAGTCCTGGCTGCATGTTAAAATTATGTGGAGGACCCTTTGGGAAAAAAATACCAATGTCTGATTTTAAATTAACTTGTGACTGTAAATTAACTTGATTTGGGAATGGAATCCTGTTTACCTGAGTCCAAGTGTGGTGTGAGATGGCATGAGTACCTGCCAGGCACTTCCTGTTAGCTGAAGAAACAGGAATCCTGTTGGATATGATTGTATTAACCATTTACTCACCTCATTACATTTTATGAAGTAGAAAAGAGCAAGTTATTAAAGTTGTTCATATCGATGCAACACTCTTTTATGAGAACTTTTCTTAGTATTAACTGCTTCATAGTGCAGACCAAACCCATATGCCAGGCAGCACTTAATCACTTGCTAGAGTAAATCTTACAAATTACCAAGGTTTTTTTTTTTTTTCTCCTTTTGCAGTACAAGGGTTTGAACTCAGGACCTTGAGCTTGCTAGGCAGGTGCTGTACCACTTGGAGCCACAAGGATTTTCATCTTAACCCTTTCCTGGCATTCTTCTCATAATTCTTACCTTTTGCCTTCTTTTGTGGCATGCATTTGCATACCTACTGATGGATTTTGTGTATGTAGTTCTGGAGTTTGAATTCTGGTTTCACGCTTGCTAGGCAGGTGCTCTCTAATACTTGAGCCACACCTCTAGCCCTAGTAATCATTTTTTACTCTATTTTTAGAACTGAGAGGCACACCTTTGTCACCCTTGGAAGTGCAGCATATAGAAGTTCTGAAGTATTTTCCACATCCTAGATTAATAAGTTATTTAAATTTCCATACTGTAACAGATTACAACCTTGTTTTTTATAATGTACTTTTTTAAAAAAATTGCACACTTAAATGTTTTCTGCTCCTTTCAATTACTAAATACAATTTAAAAAAAAGTATCACTAAGATGTAAGTAACCATGAAAGGAGTTTATCTTATGTAGGAAACTATTGTGCTTTAAAAAGCCATATGAAGTCATCTTTAGACTGGCTTGTGACTACATCATTTCAAATAAACAGCTAAAATTATGTGGTTATGTAAAACTTATTAATGACACTTTAAAAAGACTTTGTGGCATGACTGTGTAAGGGGGACTATTATTTGAAAAGGTATCAGTAGGACAGGGGAGAGGAAAAAGGAGAGGGTGATGGGGTGGTGGTGATGGTGAATGAGATTGAAACTTCATTTTATAGATGTATGAGAATAGCATATGAATCCCACAAAACTGTTAAGAATTATAGATGGAGTGATGTAAATATCACAAAGAAACCCCTTTGTATAATTAATTTATGCTAGTAAAACTTTTTTAAAAAACACTTTGTGTTGTTGTTAGTGTGGAAATTAAGTCTCCTGGAAGCTATAGTGAAACAATCTCATTAACTCTGAAACCTACAAATTATTCATGGTTTTGTATATTCAATCCAAACTAGCAAACAGTGCACAACCATTAACCGAATAGTAAAGGACAAGCAGCCACATTACACAGCCTTCACCACAGCAGAAAAGGTGAGTCCTGGCTCATTGAAAAGGTAGTAAACAGGTATGTGGTGGTGCATACCTGTAATCCCAACACTGTGGAGGCTGAGGCAGGAAGGCCAGCCAGCCTGGGCTACACAGCAAGACCCTGTCTCAAAAGGCAGCAGTAATAATGGAGACATAAATAACTGTGGCTAGTAACACGTCCATTCTTACACAAACTTCTCAGCAGTTCCAGATTTGTCAATACATCCACAGATAATTAATCCTACAACCACTTTCAAAGATGACCCCACCATTGCAGGCTACCTGAGGTGTGTTGCTGACAAGATCTGTGGGCTGGACAAGGTAGAACTGAGGATGCACTAGAGGGGTCCCCCAAAGAGGAAACAAGGACAGAGCTCTGGGTGGGACTTTCTTCCCCAGTGCCCTTGGAGAATGGAAGCAGGGAAAGAAGTGAGTCTGTATGAATTGGGATCCATCATTTGCTCCTATTCCTAGTTTTAACCCAGCCTCTCTCTACCCCAAAAGTGAGCAGGGCAGGTACTATTTGTCCCACCTTACAAACTAGGAAGTACAGACCTTGGGAAATTAAAATAGATACCTTATTCACAGGAATCCTATACCCAGGAGATAAGCACTCAAGAATTATCTGTTCAACAGTCACCCTGTCCCCCCACATCCAAACAGACACAGATTTTGATCTCAAGTACAGAAATGTACATTTTCCAAAACATTTTTTTTGGGGGGGGGTTTGGGAGAGGAACAAAAGACTGGGAGCAACGCATCTGGAGGTAAGGTCCATGTTGGTCAGAGTGCTGGAAGTCAAGGCACTGGGTAACCAGTGCTGGGCAGAGGCTGCTCCTACAGCCTGCAGTCCTAATTCATCCTGGAGGAGGCTATCCTCTGTCCTTGTTCCTCTACATTCTCTTCTCAGTCACAGTCATGCAACTTAGTACATTTGCAAGGCCATTTAGTACATGGAACCACACTGTCCGGGCTATCCTCACAGGAGGGGAGAAGAGGCTGAGAGCCATCTGGGCTCAGGGGACACATGAAGTTCATTTCCCTTTTTGCTCTTGAACATGTTCACGTGTACTGTCCTGGAATAGAGTTATCAAAGCCCTACTTTGGGCTACGGAGACTCCAATGGAAACAATGGTGCCCACTTCTTCCAGGCAATGCTCGCTGCTCTCCAAACCATCGACCTGTGGCCTGGTGCATGTAAGGTGGTTGCCACTGGACAAAGAGTCCTAAACAAGTTGCTTGTTCTACAGTCCTATTCCTGGAACTCTCAGAGTCTGGGTCAGCCCTGGGAATGGAGAGTTGAGAAGCCAACACCTAGCCTCTGCTGAATCATGTCCAAGAAACTGGCCTTCTCTGAGGATGTGTCCCATGGAAGACAGCTGCAAAGTGGCTGTAGTCTAGCCTTGGCTCAGGGGCCAAGTAACAACAAACTGTGCTACCAGACCTCAGGGTACCTCCACCCCCGCCCCACCCAAAGCATGGAAGACCTGATGACAGTATCTCCTCACCTCAAGCTCCCAAGGAATTCCCAGAGGCCTCCCACACCGTACCCTGACAGGGCTAGGACGCAAGGAGAGAAGCTGGGGAAGAGGTCCCAAACCTTAGCCTACTCCTGAGGACGGTTTGTCTGTTGCTTGGCCATTTCTTGGGAGTCCAGTGGCAAGTTCCAAAGGCCTGTGTAGCTCATAAAGAAGAGGCTCAAATATCCCAAAACCAGCTGAAACCAGCTCACCCATTTATTTGACTGAGAACATTAAGAAGGACAACAAAATTAAACAACCTTTAATAAAATTCCTATAGAAGACTCAGTCACAGGGCAAGAACTCAGCTGTCTTTCCCATTCATTGAGGACTGAGAGCCCCCAATATCCTTTGGAGAATAAGCAGTGGTTCTGCTGGATCGTGCCAGTACTCAGAGTGTCTACTTCACCTGCACATCAAGCCAGTAGTTCCTATTGCACATATTAACATTATTCACACCCAGCACCCTAAGTGTGTGGTACCTCAAGAAATAAACTGAAGACTTCCATGTGGCATGAAACCATTTCAGTGTGAACTAGTATCATTGAAAAATCACATTATTACAAGTTTTAATAAATACAGTAAGAATAGCTGGCATTTTACTAAAATACTGAATTTTAGGTCTGGAGTTTATTCCATAAATAGGTTCCTTTTCATTTGCTTGCTTTCATCGATACATCTGCTCAAGTATTATGTACTATGAAGTGAATTCTTTCACAGATACCATATAAAAAGTATATTAATATGTGCCTCATTACAGAAGCAGCTGGAAGAACTGGATCGCAGTTAACCAACTGAAAGGTAACTTAGGAAAAAGCTCCGCTTTTTGTAAAACTTTAAATACAGGCTAGAGAATACCAAAGAAACATCTTTTTATATAGAACTCCCACTAGAAATTTTATAAATATAAATGCAGCATATTTTATATATATATATTATGTTCACCTCACCAACAGATTTTCAGCAAGTCTGGCTGGAATGATACTACCAGGTAGATAAATATTAACAAAATTAATGAGTTTCCATAGGATTAAAAGATTTCTTTTGAAAAATAATCTTAGATTCAGATTATAATTTGTACTTTATACAATTTTAAAAGGGAAGGAAGATAACTTTCTTTGATGCTTCATTTGGAAAATAAGAACAGTCCCCAGGTGTGGACAAGTTGTTGGCTGAATGGTAACACCTGGTCACAACACTGAAAATAAGTATTTACACCTTTCTCATAAAGTACCAAACACTTTAAAAAACAAAAAAGAGACATCAAACAATCCCTAGTAGCATTCATTCCTTGGCGTGCAAAGTCAGCAGGAAATGATTATCCATAATGTTGACAGGATTCATGATGAGTCTTGGAAGCATTCAAAAAGCAGAGTGTAGTTGTCAGGGATTGTTCACATTAGTTTCTGTGGGGTGCCTTGTTCTTATTTATCTCTGAGTTCATATAAAGGATTTCATTCCCTTTATAACATCTCTGGCAGGGTCTTGTTCAATTTAGTGCAAGTGCAAAATGAAAACAAAACAAAACTAAGGGGAACATTAGGAGCAAAGGCTGGTCGTTAAGATCTGTAGTCTTTCCGGACTGTGTGGGCCATCCAGTTCACTTTAGTAGTCCAGCTTTCCCTGAGTGCCTCATCAAATTTTTGCTTAAATTGTTTGAGTGCTTCTTCTTCACTTTTCCCTAAAGCAAGAGAGTCCTAAAAACAAAAGGGGAGAAATTTGATTTTATAGATCTGCAGTAGAGATATGTAAACATCAAAATCTGCAAGAGACTGGTTTGGCCATGACTCCCCAGCCACCACCAGGCAGAGTGGCTCACGTAGGTATCTCAAGTAGATATTATCTGCAGGATGGAGAATGAATACCAAGTAGTAAGATGATGCAGCCTTGTCAAAGGGTTTTTGAAGATTAAATTAACTTGTAGTTACTGCAAGACACACAGCTGCCCTTCTAGGAAGGTAACTCAAGGACCACTAACATTGGCCAAGTACAGGAAAGTTGGTGAAAAACAAGGTGCCCACCAGCTGCTCCCTGGTCTTCTAGTGTGTGGGCAAGAAGACACAGCCAATACGAGTATTCTTCATGCCCCTTCTACAATGGGAAAATCATCTGGGTTACGAGCTCCTCTCCTTCATATGAACTTTCCAGAATCTTTTCCTAAAAACCACCTCAGAGGAAATGACTTTGTTCCAACCCTTCAGACATGTGAATGAAAGGGACAGCTCTAACTGAGCCCCACATCCACCAACTCCAACATAGAAAGCAAAGGAGTTGTAAGGGGTTGTACCTTAAGATACTGTATATCCTTGACTGATGTGAGCTCGGGGAGTCCTGCAGTCAACATCAGTGCAAAGAGAGTGATGAAGAGATTCCCGTGCCGTCGTAAAATCAGGTATGCATCTTCACAACACTGGCGGAACCTTCAGGAGATGCAGCAAACACGTGAGCACAGTGTTATAATGCGGGGAGACAAGCCATTTCATAAAGGAAACACGTTTAGATTTTCTATTAGAACTGCAACACTTCTGATTTTTATGCCTATGAACATAGTCACAGGGCTAAGATTTATCTCAATTATCAGGTTCCCTAAAACCACACATAATCTTTCAAAAACTAAACTAAATGAAAAGTCTATGATAAAGCACAGTGTAACAATCTTGGCTTTTCACTTGCCATGAGTCTCAAAAGCTGATCCCTAATCAAGTAAGGGTTTCTGAACATGAGTCTGGGTTCTGGATTTGAGGCCTAAACACTTTAATGCCACTCACCACGGGAAGTATATCCTGCAGACACCCAGAGTAAGAAATGACAGTAACAGTCACTTGCTAAGTATGTAGTATATTACAGTACATTATGACCACATGATATGTGTCTAATTATCACAATAACCCTTAAGTTTAATTATTTTTGTCCACATTTTGAAATAAAGAAACAAAGGCAAGGAGATAAGCATTATGTTTGGGAACATACAAGTAGGGAGGAACAGGGATATGCCTGTCCTGGAACCTAGGCTCCCTAATTCTTTTCCACACAGAATGACAGCAAAATGCCCACTCTCCTAGATTCTTACTGTCTGTCAGATGTCTCAGTAGAATCACAGAATTTTCTGAAGCAGGTAGAAAGCAGTACACTACACCCTGTAACTTACTTCCCATTTCTAGCATTCTCTGAGAGTTTCTATCTCCTGAGCATTTCTGAACTTACACAAGGATGCGACAGGCAAACTCCCCCAAACCTTCTTTCTCAGACTGAGTACCTCCCAGGTCCAAATCTATCTCTGTTAGGTCAGAAGAGAAAGGGTTCGACATGTTTAGATATGATATGACATGATAGTAACACTCACCGGCCAAATTTTTCTGTGTTTCCTGTTTTTCCTTGTTGAATGACATGAATAAAGTCATAAGTAAGAATAAAAGGCACTCGCTCCCTTTTAATACCAAATTTAGATTTGAAATTTCCAAGAATATGTCCAAAGTCGATGTGGAAGAGCTGAAAAACACATGGGACTTAGTTTTCCTCATTTTTCTAGCAGCTTTCAGGTATTTCCATTTGACAAGATCGCTGCATCCCTGGACCCCATTCACGCCCACCCTCTGTTCACAGCTCACCACAGCACTCAGGAAGAGAATATTTCTAACAGTCTTAGGTCTTTTACACTTAATAATAACTCCAATATTAAGCTGTGGGTACTAGTGGGAGATCCCATTGGCTCCCTCACTTTGACTTCACCACTCAGCGGCATTTTCTCCCCACTCCTTCATGACTTTGACTGCTCCCTGGTATCTGCCTCCAGTTTTTGAAATACCATGTTTATAATTATTTTTACTTTGTAATTTTAGATTACTATTCTTTTTTTTTTTTTTTGGTGGTACTGGGGTTTGAATTCAGGTTCTCAAGCTTGCTAGGCAGGTGCTCTAGCACTTGGGTCACTCCAACAGCTCTTTTTTGTGTTTGACATTTTTGACATAGGATTTCACCAACTGTTTGCCTGGGCTGGCTCTGAACCTTGAGCCTCCTGACCGCCTCCCTAGAAGCTAGCATAAGCCACTGGTGCCCAGCTGGATTACTATTCTTATCATGGAAAATGAGGACTTAGGACTCTTATACCAGATCACACAGTACTACATAATAGGGCACATTATGTCATCATTTCTGGTTAGATCATATTCGGTACTTATATTGCTCAGTTATGTAAATACATTTCAAAGGAAAGCCATATGGTCGTGGGACACTATAACTACATTTCCTTTTTTGTTCATTTTTTTTTTTTCTTGAGAAAAATCTTTTTTGGTTTTGTTTATTAGTCATCTATGACTCTACTGTTAGTTCTTCCAAATTCTCCTTAAAACTCCACAAATCATTTTCAAAACTATTTTCCAGGGCTGAGGGTGTGGCTCAAATTGTGGTGTGCCAGCCTAGCAAGTGTGAGGCTGTGAGTTCAAATTCCAGTTTGGCCAAAACAAAACAACAAGACTGTTCTCCAGAAGGTGAGGTAATCTACTGGTTTCTCTCTGGGCTGGCTGTCTCTACTCCTGGGCTTCCCCCTCCCTTTTCTCCACTGAGGTCTCCGGTTTCCTCAGTTCCACATCACCCTCTCTTTTGCTGTTGATCAGGGTTTCTCAACACTGCCAGGCACTGCTGACATCTTAGGTCATTACAACTCTGTTATGGATTCTGTTCAAGGCCAGCCTGAGCAGTGAGACCTATCTCAAAAAAAAAAAAAAAAAAAAAAAAAAAAAAGGAAAAGATGCAGAAGAGGTCCAGCATTTGAGACCCTGCATGTTTGAAAATGTCTTTATTGCACCTGCATACTTTGTTTTTAGGGAGTGCTGGGGGTTGAACCCAGGACCTTGTGCAGGCTAAGCTATACCCCTCCACCTTCATACCTGGTTTATAGTTTGGTTATAGAACTCAAGTTAGAAGTCATTTCTCCTCAAAATTATGAAGGCTCACTCACTTCACTTTTCCAATGTAGCCCCTGAGAAGCTAAATCACTGACTCTTGACCTCTGCCATGTGGCCTGCCGTGTCTCTGGGAAGGCTTAGAAGCCCTGATGCACTGGAATGGTAAGGACCTTAGTAAGGTCTTCTCATCCAATGGGGGGCTTCTGTGCTCTTTCTACTAGATATTCATGAGCATCAGCTCTGGGAAATGTTTTATATCATTTGCTTGGTAAGTTCCTCCCTTCCTCTTCTCTATCACTTTTTTCTGGAGTCCTATCAGACTGATGGTATATCATCATTTCTGTCTTCTATCTCTTATATATTTATAAATATTGATATACAGAGATAGTCAGATGGACAGGTAGGTAGGTAGATAGAGCATTAACGCATTGTGGTTTGAGCTACATTGCCAAGATTTAAGTCTACTCTCTGCTGCCTCAGTTTTCTTACCAATAAGATGGGGATAATGCCATCATTATCACCACGAGGATGCCATATATAATAAACTTAACAACTGTGCCTGGTCACCACGAGGATGCCATATATAATAAACTTAACAACTGCCTGTCACACGATGTTTACACTATTTTTCTTTTAACTTTTTGTTTGTCCCTGTTTCTAATTTCTAAGAGCTCTACTTTCCCATTAAAAAAAAACAGAACTCATTATTACTTCATAAAAACAATGCCTTATCTCTTTTATTCCTGTTGTGATTTTTAAAACCATCCTCTGACTATTGCAGTTACTATTTCTTCAGAGTTCACCCCCAACCCCCATTTTCAAAATAGAGTTCTCTATCTTTCATGGTGAAAGCGTCCTTCAAATGTCTGCTAATCCAGGGGCTGGTAGAGAACATGCTGAGCATGCCTGAGTCCCTGGTCCAATCCCAGCACTGGAGTGGGTGGGAATCTGCTAATCCAATGGAGAGTAGAATGGTGGATGCCAGGGGCTGGAGTGGGGAGATGTTAGTCAAAGAATACAAAATTTCAATTAGGAAGAATAAGTTCAAGACATCGAGTATACAACACAGTGACTATAGTTGGTAACACTGTACTGTTAAAAATTGCAAAGAGGATAGATAAACTTAAGTGTTCTCACCTCAAAAAATGTATGAGGTAATATGTAAGGTTATTAGCTGGATTTAGCCATTCTAGAATGCATACATATTTCAAAACAACATGTTGTACATTATAAATATATATGATTTCTATTTATAACAAAAATGTCTGCTAATCCTTGATTGAAAACAAGTCACTTTTTAGTGACTATGTAATGGTGGGCTTCCTTGGTGACTGGGAGCTTCCTTGTAGAGTGACTGGGGAGAGGATGTCTAGGTCTTTTTACTAAAACCAGATTCTCTTCAGCCTCATGCTGAGGATGGGAATATCCACGTGTTGCCAGTGTTTTTGCAACAAAGCAAGTGGCTATGGATTAGACAGTAGTACGTCAACATTCCTTTTTACTATGGCACCTTTCCCTTAGGCCCTATACAGCCCAGTCTCCACAAGTCACATGAACAGCTTCCTTCTTGGGGTAACAAAGGCAACTCCATGTACAAACTGCCCGTCAATCCCACTTTTCACCTCTTCCTGTACTCCACCTTGAGCCGTGCTTGGTGTCTCTGATGCACAGCTTGTCTGAGATTGACACTCTGCACAGACACTCAGGTTTCCATTTCTCAGCTCTGCTAACTCGCCGCCACTTCTCTCTCTCACTTGCTTTCATCTCCACATCTGACCATGTCTTTCACTGCCCAGGCCTCTTTGCTTGCCATCTGTGACTTACTGGGTTTACATGTGTCTTTTTATTTTCATTATGACTTTAGAGGGATGTCAGGAAAAAATGTAGAAAAAGCAAAGTGTTCAATCTAAGTAACCAGCAGTCAGAGGTAATGCTTTTAAGTATGTATACAAGAGTTAATTTTTAAAGTCCAAGCCAGAACTCCCAGCTCTTTGGGAGGTGTAAACTTCTGTGTTCTACCCAGGGCCAGAGTTCACATACTTGCCCAGAGGTTTTTATGCTGTAGGCCTACAGTTGGTAGGAATTCCAAGGGTGGCTAAGTGAAAAAATTTTCATTTGAAACTAAGTTCTTCTTCGTAAGTATTCTCATCTAGCTTCCCTAGCAACTTAAGATAGTACTCACACCACTTTTCTCCCCACTCCTATGTATGACACATTTGATGTTCTAAAAGAGAAAATGGCTCATCCAACTTTTCTTGCTTTTAGCACTAGATATGATATCCTCTCCTCTTTCATTTTTCCTTTCCTTCATTCACTCAGACAAGGTCTTACTATGTAGCCCAGGCTGGACATGAACATGCAATCTTCCTTCCTCAACCTCTCAGTTTTGAAAGTGCTGGGATTACAGGTGTGTATCACCATACCTGGCCCAAATATTTTTTGTACTGAAAGAATAGGCCACTTTTTAAATAGCGTAGTAATTTAAAAAAATTTTTCTTAAACGTTTAAGTAAGTGTTTACCATCTAACTTTAAGCAAATAAATGAAAACGTGAAGCAAACAGCTTATGAAACAAGGGTTGGTGGGAAATTTAAGGAAAGACAAAGACATGATTTTAATAACACTGAGGCCTTTGCCAGACCCTGCAGTACAGCTTACCTGGCCAGTTTTTTTTACCATGATGTTGTCACTATGTCTGTCACCAATCCCGAGGACATAAGAAGCTACACAGTAGCCAGCACAGGACAGGGTGAACTCCTCAATTGCTCGATCCAGGTCATCCCTGAATAAACGGAAATAACAAAGTTATTCATCCTCCAAGTGTGTGGGAAGGGATGACACCCAAACCATACCTGTTGTTCTCTTTTTAATTGTGAGGAGAACTTACAACACAAAGCTGCAAAAACCACCCGAGCAGAGCATAATAGGAGGCAGGCTAGGTTCAAAGACATTAGCTAACAGCCTTAGCCTCTTAACTGCCTGTGGCCTGGATCTCCCATTTCAGTGGGAATGAGGTTAAGTTTATGTGCATGGTAGTGAGAAGCAACTGTGGGCTTTGCTAGATCATGTGAGGGTTTGGGAACATTCTTATCAGTTTTGACCTCAGGCTGGAATTCTGTGTTTTTCATGTTTAAGGGCTACATATTGCAGTTCCAATAATTTAAGTGCTAACTTCAACTAGAAGTGAGTAATGTAGATGCTTTGGAGACAAAGCCTTAAGATAAAAATTTGGAAAATAATTCTCACAATATCCAAGTCCTTGGATATTATCAATAATAAGCTTTGAATCTGAATTTGAAGTATTTAGCCAAAAATACTTCCTGAGCACTTCTCTTCACTGTGAAACTCCTTTATTTCCTATATATTAATGCTCATCCAACACCCCAACTATAAATAACACAATTCTAAGCATTTCACTTTTAAGTTTGGAGAAAACATGGTCTACAAACTCATTTACCTCTATTATAAAATTACCCTATTAGAAACCCAAGTTCATATATTCATATTAAGTTGGTACAATTAAACAAGACTTCACTATGCTATTTTAAAGACATTTAAATTCTTAGGTTACAACTTATTGCAGGGCTTCTCAACCTTGATTTAAATAAAGTAGAATTCAATGCTAACAATCTAAGATTTTAGGAAGGCCTGTGTGTCATTCTGTGCTAATCTACAATAAAGCAGTAAGTAATGCTAATACTTCTAAAACACTGATGATTTCTATTGGGTGAATCATTATTTGGGCGAATCATTATTGCTCTTAGTACAAAAAAAAATGACAATGAAGCAGAATAAACTAACCCAGAATTGTATTCCTTAAGCCAGTTGAGAAGGGCATCTTTGTTGAAGGCTGCTGCAGCAGCCACATTGCTACTGTTCAGCTGAATGTCAGCAATCGTCTCAGAGGTGCTCACAACTTCAATGAGGCCAGAGCGATCTCCTGTTGCTAAACAGCCATAAGGCAGCATCCTGAAAGGAAAAACATGGGCATAAAGAACTGTATTTTCCTTAAAAGAGGAACTAGTAATTTGGTAGTTTTTTTGTTTGATCGTTAAAAAAGTTATCATTACTGACACACTTGCCATTACTCATTAATGTGTTACCATACCAAAAAATACAAGTTCTGTCTTCTGTTAGGAAATAAAACTCTTGGCCAACTGATGGAATGATTTACCAGAATTCCAATGTTCCAACTAAATGCATCACTTGCTACATAATTATTCTGGTGAAACAATTCTATCTGCTTTGGGAGATGGACAGAGCATGTAAGACAAAAGAGAAGTACTTAATTTTTGCTCTTAATTTTGGGGAAGGGGATCATCCTTTGAAGAACACCTAATAGGTGCCATGCACCAGGCTAAGTACTGCACACATGATGTTTGTGAAAGCAACTTCATTCTTCTAATAGCTCAGACCACAATCTTAAGATCATCTCTGACTACCGTTCTCATGCTCAACATTTATCAGCCTTGACAATGCATCTAGAGCCATCATGGCACACACCTGCAACTCCAGCACTCAGAAAGCAACCACTGGCTGGGACAGGAGGATCGTGACTTTGAGGTCAACCTTGGCAACATAGTGACTTCGAGGCAGGCCTGCTACATCATAAGACCTTAAAGAAAGAAGGAAGGAAAGGAGGGAGGGAGGAGGGAAGGAAGTCTAAGTACTTCTACACTCCCACCCTTCCTCTGCTAACACCCTAATCCATGTTACCAAGAACTTTTACCTCAATTGTTCTCAACAGTTTCCTAACTGGTCTTCCTTTTACATCATAGTCTGTTCCAAATGCAATGGTACCATGATACATTTAAAATGCATTCATATCACTCCCCTGATGGAAATTTCTGTAAAGGCTTCTCACCTTAAAGTGAAATTCAACATGCTTGCCCTGGCTCGCCATGGCTGCTTCAGTCTAGCCCCCTTCATTTCTCCCATTGTTCACTTTGTTCCTAGTACACTGATCTGCTTGCTTTGCTTAACCATATCGGGTACAATACTCAGTCACTCCTGTACATATGCAGTTTTTTCTACCTGGATTATTCTTCTCCAAGACATCTATGTGGCTTATTTCCTCACCTCTTTGAAGTCTCTGCTGAACTATCAATGTCTCAGTGAGGACTTCTTGGATCATCCTATTTACAATGGCAACATTCTCCAAGACAACAGTCACTATTCCTTTCCTGCTTTATTTTCCAATATACCTCAACTCTACTCAAGTTCGTATATATTTTACTTATTTGTCTGTCTCTACTATTTGGGTGCAAGTTTACCATGTGTGGATGTTTTATTCACTATCTATCCTCAGTGCCTGAAAATGTGCCTGGCACAAAATAGATGCTCAATAAATATTTCTGAATCAAGGTAAGTTCCCAATTTTATAGATGAAGAATGTAACTAACTTGCCAAAAGTCACATATTTAACTAAGCGGAAGGTACAAACTTAACCTGGGTCTGTGTAGTTCTTAAATGACCTTTTTAGTTTAACAGTCACCAGAATCACTGACTATGTAATAGGCTGTGTCTAGGGTAAACAATACTGAATAGGGAGATTGATGTGGAAGAAGAACTGCTATATGTTTTACAGTGATTAAATAAAGATGTGATGTCAACAGATCTGCATCCTCACTTATTTCTTGAGTTGAAATCTTATCTTTCCAGCTAGATTATAAACTTCTTGGTGACATCAGCTTTAACTGAAAGGGGGTAACTGAAAATGTAGAGAAGGCTAGTAATCTTTCAGAGATGAGATCTGACATTCTAACTAGCTAAACTGGGTGTGGTGGCTCATTGCTATAATCCCAGCTAATCAGGAGGTAGAGACAGGGAAGACTGAAGAGATCAGCCTAGATAAAAAAGTGAGATTTCCCATCTTAATCAATAAACCAGGTGTCTGGCATGTGCCTGTATCCCAGTTATGTGGGGGAAGCCAGGGTGTAGGTAGGAGGGTCACTGTCCAAAGCTGGGCAGACCCAGGCAAAAAGCAAGACCGTATGTGAAAAACATAAAGTAAAAAAGGCTGAAGGTGTGGCTCAAATGGTACAGTGCCTGCCTAACAAATGGAAGGCCCCGAGTTCAAACCCCAGCAAGAATGATTACCAATAAAATGCTCTAAAAATATTTTAGATTGTCAATATTTTAAATTTTTGCTAAATTAAGAGGTGGTATTTTGCTTTGACTTGATCCCTAGTAAAGAGAAAACTTTTCTTGGTTCTCTTTGGGCCATTTTAAGCAGGGTTTCTAAGCTAGGTGTGTCAGCACATGCATGCAGTCCCAGTACTACAGCATCTGGAAGACTGGCAGGAGGATCACAATTTCAGGGCCAGCCTGAGCCATACAAAAAAACCAACAAAGAAAAAAATTTCTTTTGGAATTAGTTCTTTACATCCTTTCACTAGTATTGCTGTTAAAGATTTTCTTGATTATTTATCTGAACTCTTTACATACTACTATTATTTTTGGAGGTGTGGCCCAAGTGGTAGAGCACCTGTTTTGCAAGCCCAAAGCCTTGAGTTCAAAGCTCAGTCCCACCAAAAAAAAAAAAGCACCACTAATATTATTATTTTCTTCTCATTTTGGTTCAAATTTTCTAGAAACTCTACTATAATAAGAGTAACTTGGAAATGGAATAGGGTATTTAGTAAGGTTCAAGTAAAGATAAAGTAACTACAGAAAATGCGAAGGACAGAATTTATGGCCTCAGTAAACACTTGAGTGCAACTCTGTGCCAAACACTTTGTCAAATGTCAGAAATTAGCAGTCCCTACTTTCACTGAGCTTACAAAATGCAAACGCACAATGTGATCTCAGTATGAGAGAGAAGTGCCACGGCAGGAGACAAGGAAGAGCTCCATGAAGAGGAAGGGCTGCAGGACTGGAAGGGGTGCAAGGCAGAGCATGAGAGCAAGGTAAGGAGAAGACAGTAACTGTTGGGAATGACCACGCAGGACCGACAGGCCATGGAATAACTTGGGGGAGAAGGACACATGGGATGAGAAGGTAGTATGTGATTGCTAGGGCGTGTAATAACCAAGTAAAACAGGAAAATTTTGTTAGTTTCTAAAATTTCTTCCAAAGACAAATTCAGTATTTTACACTACTTTAAGCACTTTTCTAGTTCTGGCAAAAAAGGGTTGGGAGAAAAGTGTCAAATTACATTCTGGCTGACTGACAGACCAATGGTTTGCTGTCCATCTCCATTGTTAACTTACTTCTTTTAAAAATTTACCTCTCAGTAAAGAAAGGCAAGAGCATTATGTTTGTATGGACACTCCTCGCCTTATCGTGACACAACACGTGCAAAGCAAACACAGTCAGGTTAAAGTGCACTTTCTCACTTTCCTGCATCTCTTCCCACCTCACTTGCAGCCAAACTGGGCACAAGTCCAACAACTTCCTCTTCAAAAGCAGGCTGTGATGAAAGCATTCAGTGCCTGAGGATGGAACACTCACAACGGGAAGGAAAAAACATCCTTGTCAGAGAGACAGCTTGACAGAAGTCAAGCTGGGGACAAAGTCCTGGAGCCCTGATCATCTTATCTAGGCCTCCTCTGCACTGAACTTCTACACTTCTTACAAAGGGCACAGCAACACTTTTAGTAATGTTTACCTTCCTTTCTCATTCTCTCTGACCCAGGAGCAATGTTACCTTCCCACTAAAGCAAGAATTTAAAAATGAAATACACGGCACTGCAGGACAGTGGTAGCCCCATCTCCTTACTCTGAATGGATATGTAGCAAGTACTCTCTGTATTGACGCTGCTACACCCATCCAAGGCCAAATGACCCCCAAGGAGGCAAGTGTGAATCTGTGACCGCAAGTTTGCATTATTTTCACATTCTTCCTTCACTTTGAAACTGCCAATAACAGTATCATTAAACACCTTAGCTATTACTTCTGCATAGGTCTCTTAAAAGGGAAGTAGCCTCCATTAGTGTAACACAGATCTAAAAATCAATGGAAACAACTATCAAAAATTGATTTCATATGTATTCATAGGGACAAGGGACACAGGATGTCTACCAAGGGCAAGACATATAGACAATGCAATAGACTTGACAGAAAAGGTTGACTTGTTACTGTTTGTTAATCACAAGATGTCAAGGTATCTCAATATACTGATAGCTTACAAATGTTCTAATCTGACATGAAAGATACTAAAAAGGTATTACGAAACATCAGAGAAAAATTAAAATGAACAAAATCAATTTGCATTTATGCAAACATGGCACTGTTAGAAATACTAAAATAGTAATGTATAGAAGGTGCCCAACCACTTGAAATTGAACTTAAAAGAGTATGTGCTACATGACCCAGTTTAACCTGAACAGCTGGCCAAAAGAAAAACAAACACAATAGAAACACTGGAGCACATATATTTATAGAAACAGTAAAAAAGGTTTGGTGAGAAAAAGATACTAGTTTGAAAACTCAAAAAGAATTAAAGTCCTTCACTTAAAAAACAAAAAAACATGGGGTCAGAGGACAAAAAGTCAGCAAAGACCTCACTGGACAGATGAACTCCTTTACTGTTAGATAGACAATGCTTCCCATCAGGCAGCCACCAAGTTTATTTCTAGCAGTCCCACATGGGACTGCCTCCCTTTATCTGAGGTCACAAAGAACTTCATTTGATGCTAAATGTACCTTATATTTGGATAGAATGGATAAAGTTAAAACTAAGAGAAAACAACGTGGTTGGGATTTTCAGTTAGGCTGATGGGACCAGAAAAGCTGGGACAAAGTCTTCAGCTCGGGCTCTCGTGACTCATAGTATGGACTGAATCTGTCGTTAGCAATGTGCTAACTTTGGAAAGAATAAGTGAGTTCTAAGCCTAAATTTGAAGATTTGTCTCCCCATTTTGTGGTGGAATCCAACAGTATAGATTTCCTTTTTATAGAAAGAATCTGTATAGGCAACAACGTCAACAAATGGCTTTACGCCAATTAAAACCCCGTGGGGTTTCCTGTTCTCACGCAAAGGGTTTCTTTCAATGACCCATTCCTGTTACCTATGAAGTATTCCTTAGGAGTGGTTGGACAAAAAAACTTGCTAACTGATCATAGCTATAATTATGTTTTTATTTAAACAGTTCTCTTAGAAATTCTTCCTGATTTAAGGGAAACAATATGCCACTACTTTTTTAGCCACTGGGACTTTTTAGATGAATTATGATCTCTTGTCCTTACTCTAAACACTTCTCCAGTTCCATGAAATGAAAAACCACCACAGCAGATTGTTCTTTCTACCTTACAGAAAGGGAAACACATGCTCTCAAAGGGTCTGCAAATAGAAACTCTTCCAAGAAATAAAAATCAGGTATTTTGGGCATCATTATATTTTGGAAAACAAAGGGTTACTGAACTTGTTTTACTACAATTGTTTTCTAACATAGAAAAACTGGCAAAATTAATTTAAGAGTCTGATAGTCCTAGATTTTAATCTGATTCTCATCCTTTTATTTTAAAATCTCTATTGTCTGAATTTTTCTCCTGTGTTAAGGAATCACACAGCCTCACAGGGTTGTAAAGCTTACATGATATTACATATGTGAAGAACCGCCTAATTCAGTCGATAAATAGCAACTGTTTCAAAAGTTTTTTAAAAAATTTTTTAGCCAGGCATGTAGGTACATGACTGAGTGCACAGCTGAAGCAGGAGAACCCAATTTTAAGGCTAGCCTTGGCAACATAGCAAGACGCTTTCTAATGACAAAACCAAGGGCTGGGGTGCAGCTCAAGTAGTAGAGCACTGTTTAGAAGCACAAGGCCCCAAGTTCAAACCCCAGGCCTGGAAGAATGGGGAAAAACCCCCAAAACCAATAAATCAAATCCGTAAGCTGGTATGTGATTCTTGATATCTGTCCAAGCCTTCTTAAAGTTCAAACCTGTTCTTTCTGAAATTTCAAACACGTGTAATTTTAAGTCTGAAGAGTTTAAATAAAGTACTGTTATCTACAGCACACTGTAAAGTACTACACAACTACAACGATAGTAACAGCAAGAGGAAAGGAACTGCAAGAAGGTTTAAGAAATTTTGCTAGGGAGGGATATAACACGAGACAAAAAAAAAAAATTTCACTAGAAGTCTCACCGAAGATCCAGACCAGCTTCTTTCCAGAGCAAATCCATCAAGCGCAACATTTGGAGTGTTAACATATCCTGTCGCAAATCTAAGAAAAAAAACCTGCTTAAATGTATGTACTTTTTGTTTTATGCCGATTCACTCGTTAATTTAATGTTAATGAACTGAATTCAATCAAATTTAACTGAGACCATTCATAAAATGCTAATTTTTGTTCTAAAATTTTAATGTCAGCCATATTTACTATGTCGAACACACGCTTTCATTTGCCCAGCACTGTGCCATTTACTTCAGAAATTAAGTAAACATTTCTTAAAAACTGTTTGCCGTGTGTTAAGTCAATGTACTAACTGTAGAGATGCTATAAAACCGTTAGTACTATGCTGCTTTTATATTATGCTACGTTGCTATTTTCCCTTCTTGTTTGTTTTAGAGTTGTACAGGAAGTTCTTAGGAATTGTAACTGCACTACGGGTCCATAAAACTAACAGCTGAATGCTTATTACCATGTCTAAGAGCATTTTCAGTCTCAGCGCTCAGGAGACTGAGGCAAGATCATGACTTTGAGGCTGACCTGAGCGACGAAGGAAGACCCTGCCTCTAAATGAACGAACAAATAAATAAATGAGTATTTTGAGAAGGGTACTTTTAGGTAAAAGAGAATGTGAAACTAGTGACTAAGTTTTTGGGGTGTTTTTGGTGGCACTGGGGTTTGAACTCCGGGAGTGTCACACTTGCCAGGCAGGCACTCTACCACATGAGCCACTCTGCCAACCCCCTTTTGTGTTGGGTATTTCTGAGACACAGTCTTGCTATTTTTGCTCATGCTGGCCTCGAACTATGATCCTCTTGATCTCTGCCCCCTCCCAAGTAGCTAGGATTACAGGCAATGAGCCACTGGTGCCTAGCACGACAAGGTTTTTGTTGCTAACTATTTGTATGGTCAAGTGGTGTTAAATATCTAGCAAAACACCATGAGGGCCAGGGTGGTGGTACAAGCCTGTAATCCCAGTACTAGGGAAGCAGGCAGAAGCAAGAAAATTGAGACTGTGAGGGCAGTCTGGATTACATAGCAAGACCCTGTCTCAAACACAACAAAACACTGGGTTCTTTATAAAGAATGTGTAAGTGCATCTTATGATAAGCACATTTACTTATGTTACCTCACTCAATTCCCTTAATAATGCTGGCATATGGATGATGTGTGCTTCACAGACATGAACTTGAGGCTCAATGAGTTTATAAGTCACACAGCTAACAAATCATAATTGGCTTCTGTTTGGGGTGATTGCTTCAGAGGCATTTTCTTTATAAGGGTCAGTCAGATATTTTAATTAAAATGTAAACTATAGCAGTAAAATCAATATTGCTATCATTGAAACAGTACATATGAAACCAATGAAATATCCTTTTTTTTTTTTTTTTTTGGTGGAATTGGGTTTGAACTCAGGCTTTGTGCTTGCAAAGCAGGTGCTCTACCACTTGAGCCACTCCTCCTGAAATATTATCTTCTATCACAATCTTTTTACCAAAGGAGTAGGGTACTTGGTACTTTATAGGGGAAAAAGAGGAATGTTTACTAGAAGATTAAATGTAAGTGAACTATGGAAGTCGCTGGCCAAGAGTAAAAGGGTACTTTATTTTAGGACATGATGGATTTGACTTGATGACCACTGACAGCTACTTCTTGGTTGCTGTTACACAGCTATAAAAATTAAGCAAATTCACAACAAATGAAAAATTATAAGGGATTTGGAGCTGCAAGAACCTCAGTACTTACCATCACCGTTTTTAAAAATCACTCCGACCGAATCCTCACCAAACACCTTGTTGCTGTACACCAACCACAACGGCTTCATTTTGGAGTCCATGTATTTGCACTTTTCCACACTGAAATCAGCCAAGAGGAAAGTCAGCCCACTTTCATGTTAACAATATGGCAAGACTAATTTTTCCCTGATACATCAGGCTTGGAAAAACTCCTCACCTAACTAATCCTTTCAGGATTTACAGAAGTCAAGAGCTAGAAAGTTTTCTTTTGGTAGAAAAGGAACCAGGTGGACAGCTCTGGCTGGCATCAGCTGATGCCGGATGAGTTGTACTTAACCCAGGACCTGCCTTTTCTCTGCTTTTACTTATAATTCCTCCTCTTGCTTCCTTAAATTTCCTTAACTTTTTAGAATTATTTTTAGTGAATAAAAAAAGTAGAATATATGACTAGATTAAAATCAGGAATGTTAGGAAATCATTATTTCTTAAAAGGGGATCAATTGTTTTTGTTGGGACTGGGGTTTGAACTCAGGGCTTCACGCTTGCAAAGCAGGTGCTCTATCCTTTGAGCCATACCTCCAGTCCATTTTGGTCTGGTTATTTTGAAGCTGGGGTCTCCAAAACCATATGCCAAGGGTGGCCTTGAACTGAGATTCTCCCAATCTCATCCCAAGTAGTTAGGATTATATGCATTAGCCCAGTGAGGGAATCAATTTTGAATTGATACTTTAGTGATATACATTGTTATTTTTTCATTACTTTTGTATGAAAGACAGTGAGAAATAAGTTTCCAAATTTATTCAAGACTTCATTTTAAAACAGGATTGTCAATGAGTAGATAATTTATTTGTGGTTTCCAACCACAATGTAGAAAATAAATTTAAGTACACACTATCAAAAGGATATTCCTGGAGGCAGCAATCAGGAGGACTGCAATTTGAAGCCAGCCCAGGCAAACAGCTCGAGAGACCCTATCTTGAAAACACCCAACACAAAAAAGCCGGCAGAGTGGCTCAAGTAGTAAAGTGCCTGCCTAGCAAGGACAAGGTCCTGAGTTCAAACCCCAGTACCACAAAAAAAAAAAAAAGAGGAAATTCATGTGTAATAATTTTTACTAACTTCACAGGTAAGCTTAGCTGATAGGCATACATTCTACTGAACACAAGCAAAAGGATTTGTAAGATTTTTCCTTCCTTAATTATATTCCACTTACTGGGACTAATAGCTGGTCCTACTGCTCCCCCAAGGTAGTGACCCTAAAATCCTTCCTGCATTGCTATATACCAATGCACAAACCATAAGCAATTACTTACTAGAGTTCTGAGAGGATGACACATGGATTCAGAGGTGACTGCAGGTCAGAGAGGGCTTCCCGGTATGCATTCTGTTTTAAACAAGTGTGCATGGCCTCCTTTCCTTTAGCTCTGTTTAGCTTCATTGCATTCAGTTTGATTAAACTATTTAAAGTTTTTAACTTGTTGAGTGCTTCAACCTGAAAAATAAGTTTTACCAAACCCCAAAAGTCATTTATTGTTAGAAAATAATAAATATAATGTAACGTGATTATTCATCAGTAACAGCTACCTCAAAACACACACACAGCTGAAGTAAAAACTGTGTTTGGCTTATGACAAGCATTTTACCTACAATAAAATAAAAGCTTATTTTTTAGCACTTGTTATTTAAGGCATCATTTAAAACTTTCTTAAACCTTTTTTTTGTTTTATTCTTACCTTCAACCGAAGACTGCCCATTGGTGAACCCATGCACACTTTCCTATCTTTTCCTTCTACTCAACTTTGCCCTTAAAATTAAGAATGGAAAAAGTTCTGGTATTTACCTCTACCACCACATCTGAGAAAAATACCCTTAAAAACCAAGTTCTGACAAAAAGCATCCTACACAAAGGTTTCAAAAAGTCTCAAAATTCACACAGAGAAGAAAAAAAGAAAAAGAAAACTCTTATAGAGTAAGACTAGGCTAGAGTCTACCATTTCAACAACATAAGGCAGAGTGCGAATTCACTACCCCCTAACACCACAAATTATGTAGCTGTGTCTCCCGTATCTGGGGAAATCACAAGGGTCAGCACATCTGGAGCGCAATGGATAAGCCTCACCCTAGGAAGACCACCTTCTTGATCATGGTATCTCCTCTACCAGGTATCTTAAACCTTTTATTATATGAAATTTTGTAGAATAGAGGAAACTACACAGGCATCAACTATGAGTATTCAAGAAGATAAGCATGAAATCAGAAATGGAGGCTCATACTTGTGATTCCAGCACTCAGGAGGCTGGGGCAGGAGGATTAAAAGTTTGAGGTTAGCCTGTGCCACACAGGGAGACCCTGTCAAGAAAAAAAGAAAGAGGAGGAGGAGGAGAGGAAGAAGAACAACTCTTATATGAAATCTTCTCAGAAGATTCTCTTTCCACTAATAGGATAGCTAGAATGGATTACTGTGCAAAGTATTTGTTGTTCAAGTCTAAATTACTTGTTCTTATAATGAGGTAACTCTGGCTATCAAAGCCTATGCAAATAAAAAACGTTTGCAAGTACAAGCAGATCAATAGTGGCCAGCTAAAACCATGTTAAATAACTGAGGGTCTTCATGTAACATACAAAATTCCTAAGAACACAGTAACCTCGGCCAACTATAAATCAAAAGGAACATTTTATGAATAGCTCATTAAAACTGGACACAACAAATGGTAGAAACATACATAAAATATACATAGGGCTGGTGGAGTGGCTCAAAGGGTAAAAGCACCTGCCTAGCAACGTGAAGCCTTGAGTTCAAACCACAGTGCCACTAAAATAAAAGAAATAACATATAGAAAACATAGTGAGCACTGTGGCTTGAAGTTCCAGGAGCAGGAGGTTTATTTTATATGCGTTCAGTTTTGAACTCTGCTTCCATGAAGGAAAATCACCAGAACTCTACCAGGTGTGGGTCAAGCATGCAGTTTCTGCAGACAGGCTGAGACCTTGCTCACAGGAAACTCATGAGGTTCTATGTAGCTTGATGACAAAATCAAGCTTGCCAAGTTAGCCATCTGTCAAAACCACAGACACTTTTTGGGAGCTGTACAAACACTGGTGACAAGGGAAGCAGATGAAAACTGGGCCACGCAAACAGGAACTTTTTGAAGTCTTTCAAATCTGAATTTCTTCCGTGTTTGTACAGTGGGGAACTTTCAAGCCCCATCTTTAATTGTGCTGATATTCATTTCCTGGATCAGTGTCCTGAATGGCCATAAGTCAACTACTACCAGCATTTCAACATGCTGTCTTTTTATAGGCTTATGGTAATAACAAGAACTGCCATGTAAAGGGCAAGCTTCTCACAGTTCATCAGTTAAGAAGGTGAATAAGAATCATCTGTTTGTATACATTCCTTACTGTTGTAAAAATCAAGCCGAGGCTCCCAGGGAACCAAGAAAATGTGCAGAGTGATTTGATCATATGCCTGAAGGAAACAATGGTCATATGATGAGGTCAAACAAATAGGGACCAACCTTATGAGATTCTGTAGAAAATTTGGATTTTATTTTCAATGTAATGATGAAAATTTATTGTAGGTATTTTAAAAGGAAAATAATTGTGAGACCCTGAGTTCCAACCATAGAACCACAAAAAAAAAAAAAAAAAAAAGGAAAATAGTATAAAACACTCTCAACTAAAGATTACCTTGTCTTAAACTATGGGTGTGGCTCAAATGGTAGAGTGCCTGCCTAGTAAGTTTAAGGCTCTGAGTTCAACTTCAGTATCACAAAAAATTAGTGGCTATATAGAGAATGTGCGTTTGGAGGTTTGAGGAGCCCAATATAGGATGTTAATGAAGACGTCCAGTGAGAGAGTAATGGATTAGACTAGGATGATAGCCAGGGACACTAGCAATACAGACTGGTGAGACATTTAAGTGGTCTCTAAAATTAAGGGAATTAATAATATCAGTCACATGTTATTGTAAAGAATAAATGACCCCCAGTAAGTGCTGAACAAATGTTGGTTATTATTACTATCATCAATGGACTTTTCAAAAGGATGGAGTTAGAGGCAGTTGTTTTAACATCAGGAAAGTCCTAAATAATAAAACCATCTATGGAAGTCTATGAGAGTTTCTCTGGCAATGCAAATGAGTAGTATAGTGTAACTGAACTATGATAAGGATTTGATATGACATCAAGTAGAATACTAAAAAGGGGGCAAAAGTGAGTGAAAGACAAGAGATAAGGAAATAGAAGGTATTTAAGTGAGATAAACAGGTTAGAAGAACTAAGGAAATAGGGGAGCCTCTGCTACAAGGCAAAAATAATGTGCCAGAAAGCAAAGCCTAGGAAAGGTGTTTCCAATACTATGGAAAATTTCAGCTAAGTAGACTGACTATACTGGTTTAAGGATATGTCAGCAATATGAGACTACTCTGATATTTACTAGTTACAGCAGACTGATGTGTACCTACCGTAACAGTAAGTATCTGAGAAGGAAGCCTTCATGATTCATCTCCAACATGCATCCATATACCTAGTACATGGAAGAGACTAATTCCCCCAACATCTGATGATCCGTAGGAATTCTTTACCTAATTACTGTAGACTTTTCCTCTCAACCTTCCCCAAAGGGGGAAGTTACCAAAGTTAACTGTGTGCACTGGGAAAAAGGAAAGCATCAGACCTTTGGGGGACTACTGGATTAATACTAAATTCCAAGAGACCCAAAGTGTCACTGTGGTTCACTGGCCATAGTAAGAACTTATGGAGGTCAGTTATCAATGGTGTTTTAGCCCAGGGCTGTCTGTCAGGGGGTTGTTAAAATCATCCTTATGTTACCTGCCAGTTTCTGAATGAATAATTGAAGAGCTATTCAGTAGCTGGAAGAATCTCCACACTGGTTCCTGACTTGTAAGGTGAGGGATGCTATGGTTAAGAAAGGACAGGTGGAAGTCTTCTGAACTGCCTCTAACTAGAAAAACAGGGTATCAAAAGAAATGATGCGTTCCTGAAGAGAATGAAGACAGGAATACCATCAGGGGCTTGAGAGATGTGGGGATGGTGATCCCCAAAACAAGAGGCTTGCCATTCCTTAGCTCCATAAATCTGGATTATCTCCACAATAAAATACAGAAATAAACTAGACAATGAGACTGCAACTTTTAGCAATACCCCCTAATTCTGCTATACTTTGTTTAGTGGGACATCTTCACAGTTCTCTCAAATACCTTGTTTTATTTTTGCTTTAAAAAGGAAAAAAAAAAAGGCTCTAAAGGCCGTCATCATTACCCATTGTTAAACACATCTAAACAGGTTTAAATATTATGTTTAACTGTTTAAACTTATTAAAACTTAAGGCATGCTATTAATAAAGAAAATATGAAGAATCCTAGCTAATTAGGTTTCATGTGGCATTTGGTTAATGTTTCCCTGTTAAGTTTGTTGAAACTTCATCACTTGCATTATATTTTTATAAAAGAATGTATTAAGGCTAGGTGTGGCTGGGTGCTGGTGGACATGTCTCTAATCCTACCTACTTGGAAGCCTCAGATCAGGAAGAGCTCAGTTTGAGGCCAGTTCAGCCAAATAATTTGTTGAGACCCCCATGTCCAAAATAACCAGAGCAAAATGGACAGGAGGAGTGGCTTAAGTGGTAGAGTGCCTGCTTTGCAAGCATAAACCCCTGAGTTCAAACCCAGTTCCACAAAAAGGGGAGGTGAGGGCAAGGGAACGGACGGCTAGAGGCAGTGGCTCACATCTATAATCATAGCTACTCAGGAGGCAGAGATTGAGAGGGTCACAGTTTGAGGCCAGCCTGGAACAAAAGTTTGCAAGACCCGATCTCAACCAATAGCTGGGCATGGTGGTACATTCCTGTCACCTCAGCTACACTGAAAGTGTAAATAGGAAGGTCATGGTTCACGGCAGCCCAGGCATAAATGTAAGACCTTATCTCAAAAATAACTAAGGAAAAGGACTGGGAGTGACTCAAGTGGCAGAACGCCTGCCTACTGAGCAAGTGCAAGGCCTCAGTTAAAACTCCAGTATTGCCAAAAAAAAAAAAAACAAAGTATTAATCATACTCCAATCTCTATGAACTAACATGGGGGAAAAGTCACATTTGATAAAACAGAGTAAACAGCATGAACAAAATTGGAAATGAATATTAAGACACAGCCAGTACCTGTTTAGAAAGCACTTTCATGTGTCCCACACTTCCTCGACAGTACGCTTCAAGGATGACACCAAATTGTACTGACACAGCAGGAATGTGCACCTCTGACCTGCAGAAAGTCAATATCCAAGTGGTTTATTTACCAAACACTTCTCATCACCAAATAAAGACTCTGCCTTTTTTGTTCTAGTATAAAATGAACTTAGGATGCCAACCAAACAAAAGAACTGGTCATCTCATGCATAATTTCTAGTAAGATGGTCAACCTTCTAATTTGTTAAGCTCCAGTGCTCAAAAGTTCTGAGATTTTATTAGCTAATCCTTTATACTAGAAGTTTAACATTTTTACATGTTACCAGGTTTGCTTTCTTTTGGTTGGGGAGGCAGATATCTTACCAATTTAGAGTTAATTATGCTGAAGCAGAGACCTATTAACTGGCTTCATTCATCTGACTGATATCTCAATTAGGTTCTATTTGATCTTTAGTTTCACTTAAAGAAGAGTGTATATATTTGGAAAAAGGAGGCATACTTTATTTTGTTGTTCCCTGAGAGATTTAAAAATAAGACTGAATTGGATGAGAAAAGAAGAGTAAGAAAATCAGTAAGGAAACCAATGTCCTACAATTAACAGCACGGTATTATAGAGGTCATATTCTCTTTAAGAAGCTTAACCAAGCCAGGTGTTGTGGCATACATCTGTAATTCCAGCACTTGGAAGGCTGACTCAAGAAGATCAAGAGTTCAAGGCCAACCTAGGCTACACAGCAAGATCCTGTGTCAAAAAAGACAGAAAAAAGAAAAAGGTATTTCTTTTTGATAAACATGAAAGTATCTAAGTACAGACTCAAAAATGAAGATTTTTCAATTTTCCTAGAAGGCATGGGGAGAAAGAGTAACTTTTACACTCCTGATTTGTAAGAGCTTGGTGAAATAAGGCTCATGTAGTTTTGAAAATGATCTAGTTAGTAAAGACACTGAAATGTAAATTGCTATTGTTACAGTAAAACTTCATCTTCACTCAGTAACAGCAGTGATGATAATATCACCCACAACCTTCTGAAAGGCATGAATAAGCCTGAACTTAGCCCAAATACAGAGGAAATAAGCACATCTGATTGGGAAAAAGTAATACATTAACTGTTAGTTTCAGTTAAAAATAAGCAGGCATGGAGGCACACATCTCAATTACTTTGCCAAATCACAAACTCAAGCTTAGGTATCAAGAAATAAGAGAAGGGGGATAGGAGTGTATCTCCTATCATGAGCAAGGCCCTGGGTTCAATTCCCAGAACCACAGGGTGGGGAGGGAGAAGGAGAGAGGGAGAGAAGGGGAAGAGAAGAAGGTGAAAAGGGGGAGGCAGGGGAGAGGAAGGGAGGGAGAGAGAGAGACAGAGAGAGAGAGAGAGAGAGAGAGAGAGAGAGATATTGCGATTAGAGCCAGTCCCCAAACAGTGTAAATGTTATATAGACAGATCCAGAACAACTCGCCCAGCTGCCTGATCCATCAGTGTTTATGTTACACTGGGTTATATTTACCAATGCACGCCAGGATCTCAAATTGAAACACGAAAGACTTACCTAAGATGCCAAAACAGAAACTGCCCTATCCTCCGATTAGCAAGTGCTCTTTCTAGTAGGAATCTAGAGAGCGCACAATCAAGAAAAGGCTCGTATTTTAAAACTTGCACCAGTTGTAGAAGATACTGAGACAGTTCTTCATCACTGAAAGAAACAAAAGACAGAGCAGCTCAAGAAAAAGATCCTTCCCTATCAAACCAGCAAATGGTAACTATGGCAACTCCTGGGTCTTTTGGGCTAGGCTGTTGTGTGTTACCATCACTGTACTGTTACAATATCACAAGAAAAGCTAAAGATATGGTGGGGGGGGAAGAGGATCAAAACAGATGCATGGGCTTTTTACCAAATGAATTCAATCGATATAATTAATGACTATAATCAGCCAAGAGTTACCAAAATATTAATTACGTTAATACTAATTGTTGATCATGTTAAAAAATGTTTGTATTTAGCAAAACAATAATTTTTCAAACAAAAATCATAGCAGCACATTAGGATTTATTTTACTTTGCTATTGTTAGGGATAAATAATTCCTTTGCACATGTCAGTGAATGATCAAAATCTTAACTTCAGATCGTTTCAAGGACAAGGAAATGAATGTGTTGGTACACTGGAATTATACTAACTCACTGAATTAATATGACAGTATTGCAATATTGCAATTAACTGGACTGAATTACCTCAGGTTAGTGGTTATCTATTTTGTGTCTTCATCGCCAAACCTACTCACTATAAACCCAACTCCAATCGGAAGCAACTGCAAGTAGTCTGAAGGGACGAATCCCCAGTCATCTATTCAGTGCCTATAATGTTGGACAGCAAATGGATACAGAAGTAGGCTCAGGCAGATCTGGGACTGAAACCCAGAGCAGTAATTGACAAAATCAAAACTCCTAAGTATAAAATTTAACATAGGAAGAGCCATCAGCATTAGCTACGAGGGAGCATGGGAATGACAGAGAGCTCCTGAGTAGTTCACTACATTGAAGAAAAACCCTTGGCTCAGCCCATGGGGAACCAGGTGGCCTCTCCCTCCCCATCAGGTCTCCAATGCAAACATAAGGAGACAGCAGAGCAACCAGGAGCTTCATTTCGAAACTGCTTATACCACAATATTAATTAATTTATTGTAAAACCATGCCTCTTATGAAATCTATAAATAGTGGAAAACACAGTAATATGAAAATAGGAAGCTGCTTCTCTCACACATCTAATTTTACTCCACAAAAATACTCCTGGTATCACAATGTTTAAAAGATACTTGATTTTAAAAGTAAGAAAAACAGACCATACTACCATACTTTTCTGAGAGCTCTCATCTTTCAAATAAACACATAGTACATAAGCCTCATACTTAAGGCCAGAAACAAAAAGGGATAAATAAACCTCAAAATGCTGTTGTCTAAGATTGTCATTTCTTTAATAAACACCATAGATTCTCACACATCTACTGTCCAAAGGGACTATACAAACAAGTTCATTGCAGCATTGTTCATAAAAGGGAACTTTGGAGAAACAACAATGTTCCTCAACAGGAGAATGAATTAAATTAAGATTAAGATGTGTCCCTAGATAGAATATTATGTAGTGTGGGACTGGGGTTTTGAACTCAGGACTTCACACTTGCAAAGCAGGTGCTCACTCTACCACTGGATACCTCCACTCCATTTTGCTCTGGTTATTTTGGTTAGTTTGCTCACAAACTATTTACCTGGGCTGGTCTCAAATCATGATCCTCCCAATTTTAGCCACCCAAGTAGGTAGGATTATAGGCATGAGCCACTGGTACCCAGCTAGAAATAAACTGCATTTATACATAATGGAAGAAACTGACCTCAAAAATATAACGATAAATTTAAAAACCAAGGTAGAGAACAGTACATAAGCCTGAGGTCAAGCCCGTGCTCCCAGCTGCTTTGGAGGCTGAGGCAGGACTGCTTCAGCTTAGGGCCAGCCTGGGCAACATAGTAAGACCCATTGCAAAAACAAGAAAAGAAAAGGGTGTTTTTGTGTAATTTTTAAAATGTACAATATTATTACATATTTATAATTTTATAGCTATAAATATACACAATAAAACAAAAGCTGTGGTCCGGAAGGACACACATGGCTACGGCAATAGCTGCCTCTGGGAAGGAAGAGACGTAAGCAGACCATGTCAGGAAACCGAGGACTTTAAATTTAACTTAATGTGCTTGCTTTAGGCAGAGGGTAGTCAGGTGACCGGCACCCAAAAAATCCCCTGGCCACCAAGTCTCCAACACAACTCCCTTGGCCTCTTCCTTTTTTGTGAGGCATTCAAGGAGACACCCTCATTCCTGCATGCCCCACTTATTCCCTGCCCCCAAGAAAGCCACCTGCAGGTGATACCTCATCTGTCGCAGGCAGCTCACAGCGTACTCCCGGACATACTGGTCTGGATAGTTGAAATCTAGAAGTTCCAGAGCTTCCCGGGGGGGCAGTTTAGGCCAAATTTGAAGTAGCGCCTGAAGCTGTTTAAAAATGGAAACTGGTTCAGACATAATGGAAGATGAAAGTCATCAGTTTTTCCCTGGCACAAAGGAGCACAGAGATGGTCAAAAGAAATAAAAACACACTTTTAATTATCAACCTCCAAAACCCATCTGGTTAATAAGGACTAACAAAGATTGTCTGTTGTTGAAACGTTCTGTATGTAAGTTTAGAAAGCTACTAGGTACTCATCTGAAAATAGAGTAAGACACTGAAAATGTGGATTCTAGAATGATTAGCCAGTGCATAACACAAGGACAAAGAAGAAGAAAAAAGACCTAGCTTTGCACTGCGGCAGCACTGTAGACAATGAGGTTTACTTGAGGCACAATTACTGCTAATTGGAAAAAATAATGATCTAGAAACATTTAAAGGTAAAATTCACAGTATGAATATAAGCTGCAAATCTCAAGCTAACAAAAGATCATTTGCATGTAAGTAGCTCATTAACACCTCAATAAAAAACCAAAAAGGAGTTCACGTCCAAAAGAATATTACATGATGGGGGCAGGGGGGAGAAATGACCCAAGCCTTGTATGCACATATGAATAAAATTTAAAAAAAAATTTATGCCAGATTCCATTATGCAAATACATATGTGTGTTTGCCTCACCTTGGCAAACATACTTATATAACAGAAATACATCTCATTAAACAATATTTGTCCTCCCTAAAAAAAAAAAAAAAAAAAGAATATTACATGACAGAACTTTTCAGTGATCTTAATGTGTAAAAGCTCCTCAAATCTTAATATAAGTAATCTGTCACAACTAAACAATACCTAGTTTATTTTTGATAGCAAGATAACACAACCATTTCCTATTTACAGATGTCAACGAGAGTGACCTGGACACGGTGTTAACAAGGAAACCTTGAGTATGAGCTGGAGGTACAGGTGTGTGTGGGGAAGGGTTAGGATGGACAAAGTCACACCGTTCAGAACCACCAGTTCCTGTGAACCCAAATCTTCTAGAGAGGACACTTTTTTTTTTTTTAGTGGGGCTTGAGCTTGGGGGCCTTCACCTTAAGCCACTTTGCTAGCCCTATTTTTGTAAAGGGTTTTTCAATAGGGTCTTGAGGAACTATTTGCCCGGCTAGCTTTGAACCTTGATCCTTCTGATCTCTGCCTCCTGAGTTACTATGATTACAGGTGCAAGCCACCGGCACACAGCTAGACAGGACTCTTATTGCCTTTCATCAGAGCACTGTGAGACTCATCCAGGTCATTCCTAACAAGAATTCCTTCTTCTCCATGATTCTGATATGTTTATAGCACACATTCTCATAAGGAATGGGAACTGAGAAAAAAATTAGTTATGGGGGAGAATGAAAAATGTTTTGTATGTTTGAATAATTTTTAAACTACTATTGGCATAATTTACATGTGTAATTTGAAATTTCATAATCTAAGTAAACAGATTACATTATTTAGCAAATATAGTGAAATACTAATAGCTTTTAAATTTTAACTTTATATCTCAATTTCTATTCTTAATCCATCCATGAGTAAAAAGTATAAGCTTTATGCTTGCTCCTTTTGCGTATAAATTATAGGTAACACGCTATGTTAATGTATATACAATGTATGTAAGGTATCAAAATCTAATAGGAATATTGCTGTTAGGGGAAAAATGACTAAAAATGTTCTTACAGGATATGGTAATGAAAAAAAAAAAAGTTGAGAAACACTGGTCCAAGATAAGGAACAGCAGAGTGCTGCCCTAAGATTAGACACAGTGACCAGTGGAACAGAATAAAGAACCTAGAAAACAACAAATCTAAAGCTAACAATTCTGCAACAAAAGTGTTAAGAATGTTTTTGACACCCACAGAGTGGGAGAAAATATTTGCCAACTATACATCAGACAAAAGACTGATAACCAGAATATATAGGGAACTTAAAAAACTAAATTCTCCCAAAACTAATGAGCCAATAAAGAAATGGGCAAGTGAACTAAACAGAACTTTCTCAAAAGAAGAAATTCAAATGGCCAAAAAACACATGAAAAAATGCTCACCATCCCTAGCAATAAAGGAAATGCAAATTAAAACCACACCAAGATTCCACCTCATCCCTGTTAGAATAGCCATCATCAGCACCACCACCAACAACAGGTGTTGGCGAGGATGCGGGGAAAAAGGAACCCTCATACACTGTTGGTGGGAATGTAAACTAGTACAACCACTCTGGAAAAAAATTTGGAGGCTACTTAAAAAGCTAGACATTGATCTACCATTTGATCCAGCAATATCACTCTTGGGGATATACCCAAAAGACTGTGACACAGGTTACTCCAGAGGCACCTGCACACCCATGTTTATTGGGGCACTATTCACAATAGCCAAGTTATGGAAACAGCCAAGATGCCCCACCACTGACGAATGGATTAAGAAAATGTGGTATCTATACACAATGGAATTTTATGCAGCCATGAAGAAGAACGAAATGTTATCATTCGCTGGTAAATGGATGGATTTGGAGAACATCATTCTGAGTGAGGTTAGCCTGGCCCAAAAGACCAAAAATCTTATGTTCTCCCTCATATGTGGACATTAGATCAAGGGCAAACACAACAATGGGATTGGACTTTGAGCACATGATAAAAGCGAGAGCACACAAGGGAGGTGTGAGGATAGGTAAGACACCTAAAAAACTAGCTAGCATTTGTTGCCCTTAATGCAGAGAAACTAAAGCAGATACCTTAAAAGCAACTGAGGCCAACAGGAAAAGGGGACCAGGAACTAGAGAAAAGGTTAGATCAAAAAGAATTAACATAGAAGGTAACACCCACACACAGGAAATCAATGTGAGTCAATGCCCTGTACAGCTATCCTTATCTCAACCAGCAAAAACCCTTGTTCCTTCCTATTATTGCTTATACTCTCTCTACAACAAAATTAGAAATAAGGGCAAAATAGTTTCTGCTGGGTATTGAGGGGGTGGGGGGAGGGGGAGGGGGCGGAGTGAGTGGTAAGGGAGGGGTTGGGGGCAGGGGGGAGAAATGACCCAAGCCTTGTATGCACATATGAATTTAAAAAAAAAAAAAAAAAAAAAAAAGGATGTTCTTTGGAGAACATTTGATAAACTGTGCTGGGAAAATGGGATATCTATTCCCACTGCATAAGCACACAAGCAGAAGAACAAAACAAGACCCTAACCTCTCACCAGTTAAAAACATCTCAAACTGGATTAAAGATGTCAACATAAGAAAACAAAGAGGAAACACTTTAGGACAAGGATTTTTTTGGTGAAGACTCCAAAAGCACAGGAAACAAAACCAAAAATACACATCAAACTAAACACCTTCAAAGGAAACAAACAGCACAGTGAAGAAACAACCTACAGAGTGGAAGAAATTATTGGCAAACTATGTATCTGACAAAGAGATGATATGCAGAATGTATAAGAAACTCCAAATACTCATAACAAAAACACCCAATAACCAAATCAAAACTAAAATGTGCAACAAATCTAAATAGACATTTCCCAAAAGAAGACACAGAAATGGCCAAAAAGTACCTGAACAAATGCTCAGTATTTGTAATCATAAGGTGAACACAAATCAAAACCACGAGTTGCCATATTACTCCAGCAAGAATGGTTAAAGATGAAAGATAACAAGTTCTGGTGAGGAGATGGAGAAAAAAAAACTCTTGTACCACTGGTGGGAATGCAAACTGGTACAGCCATTATGGAAAACAGTATGGTGGTCCCTCAAAAATTAAAACTAGAGCTACTAGTTGGTCAGCGGTCCCACTATTATGTAGCTATCCAAAGCAATGAAACTGATTATTTTGAAAAGATACATGTACCTCTATGTTTATGGTTGCACTATTTACAGTAGCCAAGAAATGGAAGTTGTATGTGGAAACACACACATCTGCAATCCCAGCATTCTGAAGACTGAGGCAAGAGGATCACAAATTCAAGGCCAGCCTGGGCTACAAAGAGAGACTCTGTCTAAAATAAATAAGTAAATAAATTTAACTAGGCCAGATGTGAGGTACATGTCTGTGATCTCAGCACTTGGGAGACTGAAGCAGGAGGACTGGAAAGTTGAGGCTAGCTCAGGCTACATAATGACCTGTCTTAGAAAAAAAAAAGCAACAAAGGTTATTCAACATATGAAAATATACCTATGAGGACAAGTAACATAGATACTGAAAGGCAGTTACAGAGATGATATTCTGTTACCTGAGCCACATCTTCAAGTTTATTCCACTTGATTGAAAGGAGTAATTTTGGCAGTGACTGTGGGAAATTCTCTCTGCAGTCTTGTCGCAAAGTCCAAATAAGATCCATTTCATTCTCACACAGCTGAGACAGGGGATCCCTATCCAAGATTTCTTTCAGTACCGCAAGAAACTTTTTTCCTCCTCGACTCTAAGAAAGTAAAATGCTCACTATAGAATTTAATTATGCAAACACTGGCAAATACTCAGCAAATTTACATGCAACGGAATTATATATAGTCATGAACTTAACCCTGTGAAATACAAAAATGTAACTCCTTAAAAAGATTAATAAAAATGACTCCTTTTAAAAAGTTTTCTTTACTCAATATTAAATTTATAAGCTAAGGATGAAGAACTTATTTTCAAAACAATTCTAAGAAAACTGTTTTTAAAATCCTTGTGCAAACACTAGGTGGCAGCATTGCTCTCATTAAGTGCCAATCATTTATTATTTGAACTGACTTCTTAATTCCTATAAACAAAAAACTAGGATGATTCAGACACATACGTGAAAACAAAAACAATAAACAGGTGCCTTGTTTTCTGTGCCTAGGCTCAAAGGCATAAAAGGTCTGTAGAGTAAGAACTATAGGGGCTGGGAGTGTAGCATGCATGAGGCCCTGGGTTCAATCCCTAGCAGAGCAAAATTAAAGAAGGATGAATCTCACCAGAATGGTGGCACATGCCTGTTATTCTAGCACTTGGACAGGAGGATGGTGAGTTCCAAGACTAATCTGGGCTACACAATGTAACTGTTATCTCCTAAAACGCTTCATTAATTAACTGACAAGTTGGTAAGTGTGTACCTGTAATAAAACTTAACTTTGTTTTACTGAACTGCCTTTAAAATTTTTCTTTCTTTCTTTTTTTTTTTTTTAAGCTTTTCTTTCTAGGACTCTTATAACACAAAACTGATGGGGAAAAAGATGGGGTAGGAGGATTCGGTTCCCATGGTCACAGTGTGGCCCAAAGCCTTTCTAACCTGGGAAGACCGGGGACCTGACACACTTGGGAGTTAAGCATTCAAATCCGAAACACAAAATTTAAGCCAAGAGACACTAGTGGGGGAAGTACCAGTAATACACAACTTGCACTGAGAATATGAAATGATTTTCAGAGTTCTTAACGGTGAAGCAGAAGAGAGCCTATCCCAGTAATTTCTCCAAGTAGCCAACATTAAACAGTGACTTGATTCTGAGGGGAGGAGATAAACAACCATTGTTCCCATTCTGACTCCTGGCCTCTATATATCATATGGAAGGAGGGGCTTTGCTGAAGACACTTAAAAATTATAACCCAATGGTGAGAGAATACAAAGTCTTAAAATAGAAAGAAAAAAATTCTTCTTTACTTTTTCCTTGAGTACTAGAATCTTTATCCTTAGTCAAGCACATGACAGCCCAGCTAACGACTGCATTTCCCAGCCTCGTTGTGGTTCAGAATAGTCACACGACTAAAACCTAGTACAGAACTACATGTACTGATTACATTGCAGAAAAACTAGGCTACAGGCTCTAGTCTTGCTTTCATGTTCCTGCTGACTATAATGTAGTAAAGTAGGAAGCTGGGGCAGAAATATTAAATGACAATCTTGGCGGTGCTCCAAGGTGGACGACTTCTAGGTCCCCCACACTGTGAAGCTTTACTGCACTACTTTGCTGGAAGAGAGAAGTACAGCCCCCTCCCTCAACTAAATAAAATCCACTAAGACAATACTGTGAATACATAAAAATCAACAGCAGCATCCCTTATATACTGCAGAACCTGTTCTTGTGTCCAAAAAGGCCTTGCCAAATGAACACAGATCATTCACATTTAACAAAACACCAGTATGTACACTCAGACTCTTCTGCATGAGCCTTCCATAAATTCATTACCATAACTGGAACGCATACAACTCTACAACAGGAAAAGGCCACTTACTCTTGATACTTACTGACACATTAGCACTATCACTGCTTGCAATCTCAGCTGCCTTTTCAATAATCTGTTCAAAAGAAATTTTAAACATTAAATTTTGACTCATTTGTAGAATTTAAGTGCAAATAATTACACCTGTATTTAGACTACAAGGGCCTACATATGCTCGGCGTTTCTATACTTTATAACATGAATTTTCAAAGAAGAGAAATGTGCTTCCCATGTGCTTCCAACCCTTGACAACAGGGAAACAGCAGTATGACTGACGGAGATAGCAGCTCCTGGGGAGCACTGGGCTTGTCTGCAGACAAAATAACTTTTTTTTTTGAAAAATAAGTAAATGCATTCTGATTAAGAAAATGCAAATGTAAGTTACTAAATGTAGAGTAAGTTTACTACTATGGTTTTTTCTTAATCAACAAATGTCAAAAGGAGAAGCTGGGGCTAAGGTAAAGTTCTGGCTGAGGGCTTCCTAGCATGTGGGAAGCCCAGGGTTCTATCCCCAGCACTGCCATTATAAAACAACAACAACAACAAGGCCTAAAATTATTTTTAAAATTCATTAAGTTTATAGAGGGAGCTCCTTCTTGAAAAGAGGGGAACTCCCTGGTATAGTGGGAGGTTTGACGGCTCAGAAGATGCAAATCCTGTTACTGAGTTACACAATCCTAAGTAAATAACTTACCTCTATTCTCATGTATAAAGTAAGTTCATTCCCATCCTATTCCATATAGTACTGATAAGAATGAGATTATGGTTATTAAAATTAAACCATAACTATAAACCAAACTGTAACCATAAAAGCAAACTGTATGTAAGTGGTTACAGTGGCAAACACTAAATTGAATAAAAAGAACCTAAGAGAACTTCTGCCTTCTCCATCTGTATTACTGACTTTATAATAACCATATACAGCTTGTACAGCCAAAGAAAAACTGGTTAACTATAAACATACATATTTAAAGTCTAAAGTCTATGCCTAACTGACCTTCAAAACAGACTTCCCAAGTATCAAAAAGGCAAAAGAAGTTTCAATGACCAGGTATGGAAGATTGCAGCAATGGTAAAATTATAAACTTTAAAGGAACTCCTAGCAGAAAAACATTTTTACAGAACTTTAAATGAAAAGTACTTGAGTGGATACAATTCAAATGAAAATGAAAGAAACACTGAGTTACACAAATTTGCACAATGCTTTTTAAAATCTCTTCTAGGACTAGGGATGTAGCTCAATGGTACAGCATTTGCTTAACAGTACAAGGCCCTGGGTTAAGGCCCCAGCAAAACACACACACATCACTAACACAGGAGTGATTACATGTTTCATTTCTGAACCAACATGCTGGACTCATTTCAAACATTTTATATGTTCAGAGTTACATATACGAATACATTGATAGTATTTTTACACAGAAAAAGACCTCAGAAGAGAGCCAGGCATGGAGGTACACACCTATAATGTCAGCACTCAGGCTAGCCTGGGCTACGTAGTGAGTTCAAGACCAGCCTGAGCTGCATGATGAGACGCTGCCTCAAACAAAATAAAGCAAACAAACAAAAACCCTCAGAATCATTGTATTTTCCCCCTTTTTATAAATGAGGAACCTAAACTCCAGAAATGCATGCCTTTCTTGGTCAATGATAAAGCCAGGAGTAACACGGCTTGTGAGCACCCTGCTCCACAGCCCTTCCCCTGAATAAAACTGTCAATGCATGTAAAGTTTTGAAAAAGAAAAAGATATACTGAACTTAAACTAACATACACAGCCAGAAATTAACACCTTGATTATTCTGAGCACAGTAGCTGCTGGAGTAATGCACTTACCTTATCAAAAGGCGGGTAATAATAGGGATGCTTTTTATTCTCTGGAAATTTAATGTGCAAAGCAGTTGCATTTTCAGTGTAAGGTTGTCTGAAAGTTCCCATTGGATTCACACTTTCTTCAGTCATCTAAAACGCAGTAATTTGATTCTTAAGAAACGTTCCAAAACTAAAAACAAAACAAAAACCCTGCAATGGGTTTCCTCATGAAATGATCTAAAAGTGTTTGGCAGACAATTATATTGGAAGTCTTTAGTGTTCTGTTAATGCTTGGAATAAAATTTGCACACATCTTTAAAATAAAGTTAACAAAAATTAATGGTTACATGATCTCTTCAAATTTAGTTAAGTCTTTTCTATTCTGAAAAAGAAGCTTAATTGGACCTGCTTTTCCTCCATCAAAATTAGGTGGCCACTGCTGTTTGTGGATTTCTGAATCATATGAAATCTGATTTTCACGGTCATCACAGAACTGATATTTGGAGAGCCAGAATGGCATTCTTCATGTCAAAGCTAATCTTGCTAATGCTCCTTTAATACGACTCCTAACACAAATACCTTCTCTGTAGTCTCTGCAATGTGCCTTTTACCTAACCAGCTGTCTCTTTCTTCAGGGGATTCCCTCCTCTCTTCACACCCTAGATATGGTCCATTTACAGATCTGTGCGTGGACTACACTGTAGTCAGGAAACCTTGTGGTTCAGATAATGTAACGTCCTAATTTCATATATAAGTAAAATCAAGATGACAGAACCTTACAATCTAAGGCCTCCCCTTCCTATTCTGATTTCTGACACAGTTATCTTCTCTGTACCTCCTAAAGAAGACAGGGTCCATTCTGTCTATGCAAAATGTCCATCAAGTATGTACGCCCAGAATTATTGCCAAAAATAGAAAACCTTTACAAATTTCAATTCCTTAATCCTTTGCTCCTCTTATTTAAGATATTCTGATCTTACAGATTAGAGGATCACCTCAATGGAGGCAACTGTGCTTATTCATACTTCTAGAGCTGATTTCTCAGTAAATCATGTCCTATTTCTGCTCAACAGCAGCATCATACTTATTTGTCCTCTCAAAGGCAACTTATCTGAAGTCAAATGTAGCATTTTAGTATTTATCAGTTCCAAACATATAGAGATAATAATGTTAAAAGAGGTCACAAAAAAAAGGGATCCTGATGTGCTGCAAATGGAGAGGACAAATCAGTACAATCTACTGAACAGCAATTTCTATAAACAATATTTCTTTGACTCAACAAGCCCACTTCTGGGAATTTACCTTAGACATATAAATGCACATCAGCAAGGTTATACATTGTAGTATTGTTCGAACTATCAAAAGATAAACCTGCTTTTAAAAAAAAGCAGTTCATTATGCAGATATATAAGAGGAAAGAAAGCAAAGAGCAGAACACTATAGAAAATGTTAGTTTGTATAAGAATTTATCATTGTATTTCCTAGTGTATATACATGAAGAATTATGGAAAGACACAAAAGAAGCCAATTCAGTGATTATACACCTTGCAATGATAACCCAGGGATTCTGAGTGATAAGTTATTTGTAGTTTCTCTTTTCCTGCTTCCCCCTCTCCCTTCCCCTGGATAAATGGGACAGTTCTAGAGCTGATACCTGAAAAGTTAATTGTGTTTATTATTTTTATTGTACATTTTCTTAAGAGATGAAGTCAGTTTCAAAGTATGTTCAATAAATACCACCAAAAACTATTTTCACTAAAAATATCAGTCAAGTTGCTTCATGATTCTGGAGAGCATATGAGGGTCTAAATTAAGATTTCTGAGGACTGGTGGAGTGGCTCAAGTAGTACAGCACCTGCCTGGCAAGTATGAGGCCCAGAGTTCAAACCTCAGTACCACCAAAAACAAAACAAAACAAAACAAAACAAAAAACAAAAAACTTTTTCTTTTTCAAAAAAGCATAGTGCCTGAAATACTTGTTTCTACATTGTAAAAATACAGTTCCTCATAAGAAATGTGTCAAATACACATAGCTCTCTTGTATTTGATGAATAATAATTTATAAAATTTATGGGAGGTTTATGTCATGATGTTAGGAATAACAGAAAACACATGCACACAATTGTGAGGAGTTTATAAATGTCAGTGAATAACTGATTATCCAAAACATAATTTCTCAGGTAGCAATTCCTAACTTAAGAACAATTTCAAATACTTATCACTCACAAAATAATTCAGAAATTCAAAACACTCACAATGTTATCAAATACATTGAATAGAAAAAGAGAAAGAAATCCACTATTATTATACAAAGTTTATACTAAGAATTCCAACTTTGGGGAAATCAGTACAGAATAATACTCTAGGCTTGAACCAATTATGTAAGGTTGACTACCTTATTATTCTCTCTGGTGTTTAATTTTTTCATCAGTAAAAATGAGAATAAAAGCCAGGCAGACTGGTACATGCCTGTAATCCCAGTACTCAGGGAGCAGAGGCAGAAGGACTACAAGTTTGAGGCCAGCTTGGGCTATATAGTGAGACCCTGTCTCAAATAAAAGACAGAGAAAGAGAAAACTCACCTGTCTCATTTGATGAGGGCACATTAAGTGATATTTGAGAGATCCAAGGATGTAGAAAGTGCTTCACTTATCTCAAACTTCAGACTAAAGCCAACTAATGAACAAGTGTTTTTACAAGTGAATGCACTTTCTAGTTAGTGTGCCTAGGAACAATAAACATTCAAAGACAAATCCTTTTACGAATGTGTCAGAGTAACCTATGTTCATCTGTTTTAGACAAACGATAAGGATATAAAAGGAAGGTTTATTTACTGAAATGCTAGAATGGTGAGTCACTAAGAAACTCCAACTAGTTCACAAGCCAAAAGCTAGTTACTCTTTAACACTACGGATTAGATTATAAATCTTACCAGGAAATGAAGACCAGCTGTGCAGTATCACGTCTCCAGACCTCAACTGTCCTTTAAAGTCAAAGACCATTGTGTTCACCCATGCTACAGGATAATGCTGTTGAAGAGACGCCATGGTATAAATATGCTAAGAATGAACTTCAAGGTACAAACATGTTCACGCCCTTTGTTTCAATGTTACTTCAGGAAATTTCTACAGTTCTAGGTGATCTCCAAAAAACCAGTCATCCAAACTGAAAACAAGACATACATGGGAAAATGTTCACCATCTCTCTAACAGTCAAGGAGAATCCTAAATGCCAGTTACTTACTCCAAAGTCTATCCACAAAATGCAATGTTTGCTGTACAGCCTTGACGAGGAGGAATTTGTGATGATTCGAGAAAATATGTATGATACTGTAGCAGGGTATGTTTTAACAATTTTTATCCCAAATAAATCTTAATGTGGGAGGAGGCAATGTCTCTAGGTATTGCAGAGTTTATCTCTCTAAAAAGGAGGCTGGTAGGACTTTTAGATACATGCTTGTGATCCCAGTACTCAGGAGACTGTGCAGAAGGATCTTGAGTTCAAGGCCAGCCTGAGCTAAAATAGTGAGACCCTGTCTCAAAAAACCCAAAAAGATAACTAAACAAAATGTGTACATTCCCTTGTTAAGTAAAAAAGGAAGAAATTTACATAGACACAGACAGCAATTGGGTTTTGTGTTTGTTTTGAGATGGGGTCTTGCTATGTTGCCAAGACTGGTCTGGAATTCCTGGGTTCAAGTGATCTTTCTGCCTCAAGTGCTGGGATTACAGGTGTGTACCACCACACCTGGCAGTAACCAAATTTTAAAAACATAAAATTCGTGTCTTTCCCCCACTTCCTAAACAACTTTCCCAAGATAAGAAGAAAATGAAAACACTTGATTACAAATATGGAATGGAAGGCTGGGTACTGGTGGCTCATGCCTGTAATCCTAGCTATTCAGGAAGCAGAAATCAGGAGGAGAGTGGTTCAAAGCCAGCCCAGGCAAATAGTTCACCAGACCCTGTTTCAAAAAACCCATCACAACAACAACAACAAAAAGGCTGGAGGAATGGCTCAAGTGGTAGAATGCCTGCCTAGCAAGTGGCAAGCACTAATTTCAAGCCCTAGTACCCAAAACCAAACCCAAAAACAAACAAACAAAAAAATACCCTTTATCCAGAATTTTAAAATTTGAGACACTCTGAAAACAAAAGGGTTTTTTTGGTTTGTTTTTGTTTTTGTGGTACCAGAGTTTGAACTCAGGGCCTACACCTTGAGCTACTCCACTAGCCCTTTTTGTGTTGGGTATTTTTGAGATAGGATCTTGAGAACTATTTGCCCAGGCTGGCTTTGAACCTTGATACTCCTGAGTAGCTAGGATTACAGGCGTGCGCACTGGCGCCTGACTGAAAACTTAAAAGTGTGTTCATGATTAATGTGATAGCAAAGTATGGCCAGAGATGACATGATACTAGTAAAAGTCTTTATTTGCCAAATTTAGTGTGAAATTCATATTTCACCCCAAATGCTGCTATGCTTAGTTACACACTTGTGTCCTAGACCCCACAAGGTATGTCGAGTGAGGTACAGTCTATGATCTTTCTGACATACACAAAATTCTGAATTCTCAAACATATCTGGCACCCAGAATTTTACTTAAGGAACTGCAGACAACTTATTTAAAAAATATTTTCATTCTTTTTTATCTGTATCTTCTAAAAAAGTATTTGTACATCTGTGATACAATACTTACATTATGAAATCTCCTAAATGTGCCAAAAGAACATGAATGAACAAGATATAACCATGGAAATTTTTTTTAAATGAATTCTGATTTAGTAGTACTTAAAACTTGACAAGATCAACAGAAAACACAATTAATTTCTTTGATCAAATCTTTCCCTATAGGGGGGAGAAATGACCCAAACATTATATGCACATATGAACAAAAGAAAAAATTTAGAAAAAAAACTCTTTCCCTGTATATATATAACAGTTTTCTGTAGGTGTTACTTACAGAACAATATTAAGATAACCTTGTTATTTTATAGATATAGAGAATTTTATTTTAGTTTGACATGACCCTAAAAATCTTCTTAGGCAATTCTTAGATTATACTCAACTTTAATTTTATTACACACTGAAGCTTTTTATTGTACATTTTTTTCCCTTCCTCTTTTTTTTTCCTTTATTCATATGTGCATACAATGCTTGGGTCATCTCTTCCCCTCTTCCCCCCCCCCCCGCCCCGTCCCCCCCATTACCCCCCCAACCCCTAGCTACCAAGCAGAAACTATTTGGCCCTTATCTCTAATTTTGTTGAAGAGAGAGTATAAGCAGTAATAGGAAGGACCAAGGGTTTTTGCTAGTTGAGATAAGGATAGCTATACAGGGAGTTGACTCGCACTGCTTTCCTGTACATGTGTGTTATCTTCTAAGTTAATTCTTCTCGAACTAACCTCTTCTCTAGTTCCTGGTCCCCTTCTCCTATAACCATGGAAATGTAATGTCTTTTTAAAGTTAGCTCTTAGGGACCAAAGTTACAGCATATAATTTAATTCATACTACTCAATTATTTCAGTCTCAAAACCACCCCACTATATAACCAAGTTTTGGAAGTGAGTGTATCATTACCACTTTTCCAGCTTTCCGGATGGTCTGGTATTTAGAGGGATTAATAGCTTTAGTTGATTTCTTCGTTTTTACTTTATCCAAAACCGCATAGACAGCAAAACATAACCGAGCCATTCTTGGCAAGTCACAAATATTAATATCAAATTCCAGTGGTTCGTTCCAAATGTGATCATTCTTCCCTGATGTCTCTGAGCTTACGATGGCTTTACACAGGAGCTCCGTACCATGAAAAAGCCCAGCCCTGACATGGGCCTGTAGGAGAGACAGATACAAGATCATGAGTGTTTTGCACCTGAAGAATCTCTCTTTCAGACAGTGAAGAACAACAGACTGGGAGAAGCAGCACACCAGATTTTAGAAGGCCTATTTTATCTATAGTGCTATTGGACTGTAATTAATCAGTATGTTGCTTGCTGAACTACAGATAGTTTTACCTCTTTTCACTTAGTAAGGACAGCAACTACATGATCCCAGGCTGGTTGAAATACAGTCTTGGAAGTTAAACAGCTGAAAGAACCAGGACAGTATGGATAAAGACACTATCAATAGCTCTCTCCCACTGACTCCACTTAATGGGGCTCTTCCTCCTCTTCTGAAGACTGGGGAAACAATGACTGGATGAGAAGGTTCCAAATTTCTTTCTACTTCTAAACAATTTATGAATCTGTCATTATTAGTGAACAGATACTCTGCCCATACCTATGATTATCCTCTGTCCTTTTGTTTTTTAGGCCCATATTGGGGTACTGTGGGGAGTGCATAAAATATCTCAGAAAAATTTACTGTCCTTTGAGTAATTTTTAAAGATATGACCTAATTATCTCTGATCTACAAGTGAATGGCAAAAAACTGAAGGCAGTACTAAAGGATGGACTAGGGTATAGCACAGTGGTTGAGTACTTGCCTAGCATTTACAAAGCCCTCAGTTCGATCCCTAGCACTTAAAAAAAATTCCCACCAGTACTAAAACACACAGATTGAACCAATGATATACTTTTTAAGGTCAAAAGTTTTTATATCAGCTTACTCAAATGTAACATTACCATACAATATTGATAAATATTTGCTGACTACATAATATATAAATGTGAATGACTATATATATAGAATTATTTAGTCTTGTTCATTCTAAAAGTTTATCAATAAAAACTTTTGACTTGTTAGGTGTTACTATCCCAATTTTAGAAAGGAAGGTAAGTATGCAAGAATATTCAGACTTTATAGATAATAAAACATATTAAACACTAATATAAAAATTTAAATACTGGTATTACCATCAACTGTCTAGTTATTATAAACATTTCTTATTAATTATCTGAACTTATAAACTATTAAAAAGTCAGGTATGGTGGCATACACCTGTAGTCCCAGCACTTGGGAGGTTCATAGCAAGACATTTCTCAAAAATCAAAAAAACAAAGGAGCCAGGATTGTGACTCAAGTGGTAGAGCACCTGCCTAACAAGTGTGAGGCCCTGAGTTCAAATCCCAGTACTGCCAAAAAACCCAATTAAAAAAATTAAAACTATGTTATACTGGCACAAATAAAGCTATAGTTTAGTACAACAGATACAATATAACGGCAAATGACAGCTTAGTTAATACACCAAATTCCAACAAAATAAACACAGATGGATCAAATGGTTAAACATTTTTAAAACAAATTTTTAAAAATTATTTAAGAGCTATCAGAACATCTGTTGAAACTGGGGGACAGGGAAGTCTACGAACTTTTTCTTTTTTTTTTTGCGGGGTAGGGGGTGACACTGGAGTTTGAACTCAGGGCCTCACACTTGCTAGGTAGGAACTCTACCACTTGAGCCACTCTGCCAGCCCTTTTGTTTGTGATGGATATTTTCAAGACAGAGTTTCTCCAACTATTTGTCCAGGCTGAATTCGAACCAAGATCCTCCTGATCTCTGACTCCTGAGTAGCTAGGACTATAGGCATGAGCCACAGGCACCCAGCTCTATGAACTTTTTTATATTAAGATTTTCCTGAAGAAAAATTTTAACATAAAAGAAAACTGGTTACTCCACTCAAGTTTGGATTATTAAACAGTGAAGATTAAAGTAATAGGGCTTAGAAAGGATTGCCAAAATCACTAGGAATTTGGATCTGAACACATCAGCTGATTTCTCTCCACTTCAGGAAAAGGGATTTTCCTTCTATTTAATACTCCCGGTCCCACTTGCTCCAACTCCCAGGTACTCTGACAGGGTTCCTTTGCTCCTCTGCATTGGGAAAATCTTCCTCTACACCAGGCTCTACACCTGTGCAAGTCTCTCCCTTATCAAACTCAAGCAAAATCCTCCTCAGACGCTAACTAACATATTACTGTTTTGTACCATGATGTGAACAGCACTGGAATCAACTTAGACACCTCTTTGTCTCTGTCCTTCACTTCATCATGGTCTATACAGGGAGAAAACAGTCTGTAATTTAAGATTACTTAAATGAAGAATGAAATAACTCAAATGCTCTTAAAGGAACATTCACAGGATTGGGGTGTGGCTTAAGTGCTAGAGCACCTACCTAAGAAGCATGAGGCCCTGAGTTCAAACCCCCAAACTGCCAAAAAAACAAAAACAAAAACCACCTCTAAGGATGGGGGGGTAGCTCAAGCAGTAGAGTGCTTACCTAGCAAGCACAAAGCCCTGAGTTCTAACTCTGGTACTGTCAAAAAAAAAAAAAAAAAGCATATTCCTAATGTACTATGTGAAGAAAAGAACATGAATAGAAGTTTATACTAGGATGCCAGGAATATTGGGGACTTAATGACATAAGTCCAGTTATTGACTTTTTTTTTTTTCTGGTGGTACTGGAGTTTGAACTCAGGGCCTTGAGCTTGCTGGGAAGTCTTCTATCACTTGAACACCCCCCACATCGCCCCATGCTTAAATAACCTTTGATTTTATTTTAGGCCATCTTTAAAAGATTTTACAACTAATCTTCTAAAAAAGTATCATTAAAATGGTTGGATGCTTTAAATTTAAGATCCTATATAGAGACATAACACCAAAATGTCCACAGGTGATCCAAAAACTCACTAAATTTAATGAAAAGCAGGAATGGGAAAAAAATGAGTTTTTTTGAGACAGGGTCTTGCTATATAATCCAGGCTGGCCTCAAACTCACCTTTCTTGATATTCCAAATGCTAGAATTACAGCTATATACCACCATGCCCAACTTTTTTGTTATTTTTAAAAACAACCAGTTAGGGGCTGGAGGTTTTTCTCCCTGCTTTCAAACAGGCAGCTGCAGGACTGAACAGCCATAGTTTTAAGACAGACTACTTAACAGACCGGAAATAAAAAGTGGCTATTTAAATAAGACCCAGTCTCATTATGTTATCTAGGCTTATCTTAAACTCTTGGGCACAAGCAATACTCCTGCCTCAGCCTCCCATGTAGCTGGGCCTACAGGTGTGCACCACCACACCTGGCTAGGAGAATAATTTTCATACACACTTCATCTCTCATTTTCCTAATCACATTATCCTCTAAATAAAATTTAGTTGCCTATGAGAACCACAGAACAATTATTTTTTCCAAAGCAATTAAGAAACAGCTTATTATCAAAGTATGTATTATCACTAGAGAAATCCTCAAAACTGAAGAAATTATCAACTCCACAACCTTAAAACAGGTGATCAAAAACTTGTATGACATAATATATTCAAAATCCTGCTCCGTGCATTTAAACAAAATTTATATAAAATCCCCAAAGCAGTTCGCAAATACAGGGAAGTTAATTCACTGAGGTAGTTCCATACGGACATTAAAACACAGCTTTGTCACACAGACTTGCATTTTATTGAACTCCGGCTTCCTCACTTCCAAGTGCTAAGGCCTTGGACAGCATTCTCTGATTTGGTCTAATTTTTGTTTTGTTTTTTTTTTGGTGGTACTGGGGTTTGAACTCAGAGCTTTGCACTTGTGAAGCAGGTACTCTATTGCTTGAGTCACACCTCTGGCTCTTTTTGCTTGGGTTATTTTGGAGATAGGGGCTTGTTTTTTGCCCAGGCTTGCCTGAACTACAATCCTTCCATTTTATGCTTTCCACCACAGCTGGGATGACAAGTGCACACCACCATGCCCAGCTTTTCTCACTGAGAGGAGGTCTCACAAGCTTTTTTACCTCAGCTGGCCTGAAACTGTGATCTTCCCCATCTCAGCTCCCAAAGTAGCTAGGATTATAGGTGTGAGCCACCAGTACCCAGCTACTTTTTAATTTTTATTTTTAATGAGGATAGTAACTGAACTACCTCAGAGAGTTGTTGGGAGGCTTAAATGAAACAAGACAGGAAGAAACTTTAAGCACAGCAGCTGCTCAGCTGTGCTTACCATTGCACTAAACGCTATTTAGTGTTAGCAAAATTATAAGGTAGGAAGAAAGAACACAAAACTGCTCCAGTTTCCATTCTGGATTCACAGATTTTCTTTTCCTTCCTGGTTTATCTTCAGAAGACTTATCATCAGGTGAAGAACACATAATGGATGGGACTTCAGATTTATCAGACAGTTAGAAAGGGTCCATACTGCTGTACAAAATGTTACATTAAAGGGAGCTCAACAGGCAAAGAAGGAAAAAAGACACCTACTTCCAGTACAAAGACACTCTCCTGGCACTCCTTAAGAAAGGAAAATGGAGCTGGATGCCGGTGACTCATGCCTGTAATAGTAGCTAGTTTGGGAGGCTGAGATTGGGAAGGCTGAGGTTTGAGGCCAGACCAGGCAAATAGTTTGGGAGACCCCTCCATCTCCAAAATAACCAGAGCAAATGGACTGGAGGTATGGCTCAAGTGGTAGAGCTCCTGCTTTGCAAGCATGAAGTCCTGAGTTCAAACCCCAGTCCCACAAAAAAAAAAAAAAGAAAAGAAAAGAAAAAGAAAGGGAAAACAGTGTGGCACAGCTAGGTGCATAAGAAGACTGTGGGAATCAACAGGTTGGCTTGGGTTTGAGAAGCTAGCAGCAGAGTCATGCTGTTTAAGACCATTAAGCAGGAACACAGCTAAAACAATTCAAAGTAGCTCTTTGTGTTTAGGCTACAGAAAACCTTGGGTAAAAACAGGGTATGAAACTAGAGGAAAGGAGGGTGGTAGATAGGCTGTTGCTGTAACTCAGGGGGAAGTAATGAATTACTACAGCCTCAGGAAGAGAAAAAGAAAGGAATGGATAGTAAAGGATATTAATGAGGTATGCTCTGCAGGATGTGATCAACTGATTAGATGTGGTAAGGCATCGGGGCGA